TTATGTATGGTCGATAAATAAATTAAAATGGAATAATATGAGGGCTGCCCTCACAGGCCTACTCTTTCGTTATCCGCTGGACCCTTTTTAATGACTGATATACAGGCAGTTTTTTTTAGCAGATCCCACCATCGGAAACGGTAAGACCTACAAAGTCGGTTATATTGTGAGTTAATGGTAAAAATCAAACATCTAATTGGCACGATTTGATAAGGATCTTCATCAAGTATCGCCCAGTTTCATTCAATAGTTGTCACTAACATATCACCCCGTACAGCAGTATTATGAAGTGAGTCATCAAATTATCCTAGAAGTTACTGGATGATTGCTTACTTTCCTCAAATACACATTTCGAGGATCATAAAGAATTTCCTGATGAATAAACTAAATTCACTCATTTGGCAAATGATGTCGACATACGGGTATAATCGAATAACAGCTGATCCCTTTATTGTTTAGGAAAAGTAAGACCTGAACGGTAGAGTCTAGATTCTTCTGGTCGGTAGCTGAAGTTGTCAATCAAAACTTAACCACATCCACAATTCCACTACTAACACAAGCGGATGGTTCAATTGGAACAACAGCTATAGAAAAAGCAAATCTAGTAGCTGAACAATTCTCATGCCAATCCACACTGGATTTTCTGAGAAGGTACCACCCACTATTACTACACTAGAATCTACAATGCCGAAAATAACTTTTCGATAACGTCTAGTCAGGCAAATTTTGAAACAGCTCAATATTAACAAGGCTTCTGGTACTGTTGAAGTGACTGTCATCGTATTGAAAAAGTGCCCAATGAACTCGTATCAGTATTTTACAGACTCTTCAACCTGTCTTACAAGCAAGGGGTGTTTTCTTCTTGTTGGAAGATGAAAAATTTTCTAAATAACTATATATAGACCAGTCGCTTTGCTATCAGTGATATCAAAAATCATAGAAGCAGCTGCAAAACCACCATGTCTTGGAATATTTGGAAAGCTTTAACATCTTGAACAATCATCAATATGTCTTTTGGAAATAAAGATCAACAGCCGATCTTCTACCGTACGTCACCCATATTTAGAATAACGCAATCGAGAAACATGGAAAGTCAATATCTGTTGCGCTTGATCGAGTTTGCTGGCCAAACTTCGATCCCATGGCTTGTCGGAAGCTCTCCAGTTTCCCGAAAGAACGTTTCCTGCAAGTGGTCGTCGATGGATACCTCTCGAATACTTTTACCGTCAACGCTGGTGTTCCCCAGGGATCCACATTGTTTCCATCCCTCTCTTTATTGTATATCAACGACCCATTGGGAAAAACCAAGAATCCAATATATTGCTTTGCTGACGACAGTACACTTGTCTCGTCATTCCATTTGGATTCCAGGACTTTAGTTGTAGATGCACATCTTCACCGGCAGCAGAAGGTTGCATATCTCAATGAGGTGATTTCGAATTGGGGTGATAGTAACCAGGTTCAATTCAATGCCACGGGAACCCGGGCGTCGATTTTCTCTAAACAGCTGAATTTCTCCGAATATCAGGAAAGACAATTTCGCTTTCTGCTTCGATAAGTTTGTTGGAGGTTGAAATGAACACACATATGAATGAATGAATAATGTTTATTTGCAGTACAAACAGGTAAAATATAAAATATAAAATATTTTTACATTCTAAGGTATTTCGCTAAGAAAAAGAATTTTAGTGCTAATAAACATAGATTCCTGCTAAGGCAGAGCCAGTGCGCGGGAGCATGGTTATTAAGATAATCCTGATTTGGTGGATACAAAAGATGTAAAGTAAGGAAAAAGACAAAATTTAGTAAAATACATACATGCACATAAAGGTAAAAAACACATGAATAGTACAATTAATACTATATAGTGGAATTGATTATTATACAATACAATTTAAAAATTACATTAAAAAAAAAAAGGGTTCTGAACTCAACATACACATATATATCAAATTTAAGATTACGGTAAATCAATTAGTCTTCAAAGGATCTATCAGGCAATGAATATCATTTCGAGATGTATCAAATAAAAACTTTTTAGTGGCAGCTTTAAAAGAGTATAATGATTTTTGGTATTTTATTTCGTCTGGGAGGTAATTAAACAGTATTGGCGAGACGTAGTTAAAGCTTCTCTGTCCCACTGTTTTCTTTTGAAAAGGAACCCTCACACATTTTTTTGTTTTCAGTCTTGTATCATATCTATGGTCAATCAATAATAAAGAGTTTTTTTGTTGAAATGTTCTAGTAACTGTTCTTAGGAAATAGAGTTGGCGTACATCTAGAATTTTACATTCCGAAAACAGTGAATCCGACGAATAGCGTTGAGGCTAACCACATATGATCTTCAGAATCTTTTTCTGAATTACTTCAAGTTGCTTCATATGGTACGGGGAAGCAGAACCCCATCCCACTATTCCATAAGATAATCGTGATTCAACAAGTGTATGATATATTATTTTTAAGTGAAATTCACTTAGAAGTGTTTTTAGGTTTTTGAATTTTGATAACATGACTCTCAGAGATTGTACTGTTCGTTGGATGTGTACATCCCATCTCATATGCCTGTCAATATATACTCCCAGATATTTTACTTTTTCCGCTTGTTTTATTTCTATATGTTTTCCGTGGTTATGAATTGATAAAGATTCGAATGTTGGTAGTTTGTTTGCGTAGTATGTAAAGGGGAGAAACCATGTTTTTGAGACGTTGATGGTGAGTATTTTGTGGTTGAATGCGTCTATGATTAAATTTAAATCCTGTACTACTTTTTCCTTCAAGCCTTTCCAGGTTTCCGATTCATATATGATAACGGTATCGTCAGCAAAGCTGCATATGGTTCCAGAACTGTTTAAGGTGAGTATTTCATTTATATAAATAATGAAGAGTATGGGTCCTAAAACTGTCCCTTGTGGTACTCCATACTCTATAGTTTCTTTGTGGCTTATGTTTTCGTTTACTTCCACGTATTGTTCTCTGTCCATCAAATAACTCTTTATCAGCTTATGTGCAATACCTCTGAACCCCGAATCAAAAAGTGTGTGCAGCAATTGAGAATGATCAACGGTATCAAACGCTTTAGCGAGATCCAGAAACACAGCCAATGAAGGTTTACCATTTACTAAATTTTTATAGATATTAGAAGTGACCAGCAGAATAGCATCCTGAGTTGACAGCCCCGTTCTAAAGCCGAACTGATTGTTAGATAATAATTTATTTTTGGATAACACAAATATGTCTCGGTACAATCATGACGCTGGAATTGCAAAGGCTGCTTCTCAAAAGCTTGAAACACTTTTCCGAACCAGACAAATGTACACCCCTCAGCAACTTTTGATGATTTATAAAGCTCAGATCAGACCTTCTTCGGAGTATTGTTCGCATAGGCACTGCTTTTAGGCAGTGCCCCAAGGCACTCTAAAAGCAGTGCTTTGGGGATTTTTCCGTGGTGATTGTGTCTTGTCTTCAAAAAAATCGTATACATTTTTTGAATAAATAATGTTCATTAATTTCTCATTAATATTTACGAGTTTGTTATCAATCAAGTTCCTTTATTTATTATAAACTAGTACTATGTTGCTGTATCGCTGCAGAATCAGAATCAACGAACTTAGGCATGCGCAGCGTTATAGAACAGTGCTTTCAAAATTATTCTACAGCGCCATCTAGTGGCGAGTTACAGAACAATTTATAGCCTAGAAACCTTCTCTATGGAAAATTACTTATACATGTCAAGTTTCATCACGATCGGTTAAGCGATGTAGAAGTTTATCGCTTACCAACCAACCAACTAACCAACCAACCAACAAACATCCATTTTTATATATTAGAAGATACTTCCAAACGCGTTTCGTTATGCAATAGATTTCTCAAGCGTTTCCATACTGGCTAAATTCTTTCTCATTTATGCTCAATATCGGCTGTCGCTTTCATCTATGAGGTCAAAACTGGTGGAAAAAAATCAACAACTCGGTTTTACTGCACCGTATATTGATTACAGTTCAGAAATCAGTTGCTTCTTGAGAGGAATCTTTGAACTACCTTTTTCACCTCCTTCTGGAGTCAGTGAATCTTTCGCTTTCATCTTCATTTCCATTCAGCTGGAGGATTCTGGAGCTGAGGATTTTTGCGATTATGTGTTGAATAACTACATTTCTGATACAACCTATTTGTCGCCAGAACGTTGGGCTGAATTTTCTTCATCGGTAACTCGTACGACGAATAACTGTGAGTTTTCTCACTTCAAACTCAAAGTTTCATTCCACTCTTTCAATAACAATTTGAACCGTATGACCTTCTATCTATTCAATGAGTGATTTAGGTAAAAATCAATTGAAAATTTGAACGTCCTAGATTTTTTACCAACGCATGGGCATTAAATGGGCACTAATTACCAATTTCTACATTAGATAACAGATTCAGAAGTGGGAAATAATTCAATTCTATTTGGTCTTTCAGTATATTTTCTGAATTCTTAGATCTAATAATTTCTGAGCATTTCAAAAGATTGAGTTTCAAACCTCCTCCCAAATGTAATACTTTATACCTATGGTTGAACCACTCCTTTGCCCTATGTTCTTTTATTCATCAAGAAAAGGTTCATCCCGTTTGGTAAATATAAAGTTTTGTGCAAGAACCACACGTCAACTTGTTTACTGAAAATACATTTACACAACATCGATATATGATCTACAATTTTCTCCCAATTATAGTTTTCACTTGGATTCTAAACTTTTTATTTACATTGAAATGGTTCCACTTTTTGCCAAAACATTCTTACCAGAAATGTAATATAATTTTTCATTGGAGAAGATAACCAATATTTTTTCTGAACATTCAAAAAACTCGATGAGGTAACGTATTTCATCTCATTTAGCGGGTTTTCTCACCACTCGGACACACGTCCACAAAGTCCACCCTTGCGCGGCCACCCCTGATTCCTCCCTGTGCCCAACGAAGGTATAAGTAGACTCCAATCGGCTTTAATATTCAGTTCAGTGAATTTTCTTGTGCGAATTGTTCTCGTCGTTAGGCCGTTGTGATGTTCGAAAAAGTTTTTGACGTGGATATGAGAGTCACACTCGAAAGTAAGTTTTATTGTGGAGACGCGAGTTGACAGTTGGATGAATGAACGAACTTTCTGAAGGATTGAAAAGGTCGTGGAATTCGCTCTTTTCTCTTCCTGAAGAGTTTTCCATTTTTATTATTTGCTTTATTTGAGGGTTCGAAGTGGCTTTGGTCAAATACCATGATCGGAGAAAAAACTGGTTAACGATAATTTGTAGTTTCATATTCGTTCTCAAGATCTTCAGACAAACGATGAATATCATAACTCCAAGGAGAAAATCTCTTCAAAACGCATTCAGTTACAAGCACCTCTTTTTCTATCCACGCGTTCTGAAGTGAACTGCATTTGTCTGTTGTACACTTTCAGATGTCACGTATCACCTCAAAAAAATATACAGGCTTCATGTTGGGTGATCTAGTGGGCAGTTCTAAAGGACTACGTCTGCCTGTTTATTGACAAACTCAAATGGGTTTTCAACTGATGTTAATGCTCAGTGAGACGAGGTACCCCTTTAATACAGGTTGGTTCTGATATAACACCTCTATTTTTTGTGAAATCTGATTATAGGTTCTAGAGATTGCTAAGAGGTGTTCCCTACGAAATCATCCCATGAATACCTACATAATATGTGAAATGTGTTCATAACCAGATTACATTATTGTCGAGAAGTGAAACAATAACTGAAATGAACTGGAGTGATTTTTGAGTATACTGTTTCTTAAAATTATGATATGGATCATTTGTTTGCAGATTTTTAAAACGGATAAAACACTGTTAATTACTCAGAAAAGGCTGATACTATTTACATAAACGGAAAAGTATTAGGAAGACAATTGAATACTTATTAAACGAGTTATTAGAAAAACCCCGTTCTATCAAAAAAAGTTGAAATCGCCCCATCGCCGACGAATGATGCAACACGATTGTATTTCCTAAGGAAAATTACTGGAAATTACACATTTCTATGTTATTATTTTTCGACTTCGATTTCTTTTTTCGTTCAAAGGTTAACGAGGAAGGGAGACTATTCAGCCAACAAAACTTTATCGAAGAAAGGTACGAAACAAACAGGGGCCTGCATTTTTTCCTGAGGTAGGTGCAACATTTGAGAAAATGATGGTTTTGCTGGCGTCGACTTCAAAAATTGTAGGTCACTGATTTGTTGGCAATCTTTTTTTTGTAGTCGGGTCAAATACAAGTAGCTTGATTTTGAATATTTTTCTAAGTGTATTTTGTTTCTTGTATTTTTCCATTATTTATCTTCATTTTTCATTTGCATTTTTAATGTTTCTCCATCATTGAAATTGCAGGTTACAGTAACTTCAGGTTACAATAATTTGTTATTATTTATTTTTTATCATTTTTTGAAGATAATTCTTGTTGTCAAATGACGGTGCTGGTATTTTTTGTATCATGCATATCTTCAATATTCAATTATTTTCTTCATACAAACTTTTTTCGAATGATAATAATAGTGACGAGATTATATAGATGAGAACATTGTTTGAGAATTTTCATGTTTTAAATGATGGAATCGGCCGATACTAGATACAAATCTATTAAAAAAACACTTAATTGTGGGATTTTCACTAAATAGTTTTTCACATATGTCCCCATACAATGGTTTCTTCGGGCGTGTCTTTACTCGGGCGTGTCTTTACTGGGGCGTATCTTTACTCGGGCGTGTCAGTAAAGACACACCCGAATAGAAAATATAAAATATTTCATTGGTCAAGTTATTATTGCAATTATACGTACCTAAAATATTCGATTTTATAATGACTCAAATGATCAATAAAATTTCATATTGATTTTGAAGTTTTTTGTATTATTAATTAAAATTCAAATTCAAATTCGTTCATTCATCTGAATAGAATATCACACAATACATGTCCGTTAGAAGTTATTACATTTAGTACATATATCATTCATTTGCGAAGTACCTAACAATCATTGCGTTTCCTCGATCAATAAGAATACAAAGTAAGCATAGGATGTTTGTATTTTGCACTTCTTAATGATCATCCAGAAAATATGCCTAGAGTTTATACAGTTTATGAATCAGACGAGTCCTCAGTAAATATTGATTTCAGATTAAAAACAAAGAGGTACAGAAATTTTTATGAGGTAAGTATTTGATAGTTATTTAAAATTATAGGTTTTATCAGCTCAACATTATTTTCAGAATAAAAGATTAACATTAATTTCATTTGACTCCATGATTTCCTTTACTTCAGTTTTGAACTCTTTCTCCCTTCTCCATTCTTTCACAAATAAAGGTAGTGAATTATATAGTTTAGGGCCAATGAAGAAAACAAATCTTTGTGAGTGACTTTTCGGCAAGTCAATAGATTTGTTTTCTATGAATCGGGTAACATAATGTTTAAGCGGATTAACAGTGGGCTTTGTTTTATGGTAGGTATATATTAGGCAATACTACGCAAATTTTTTATACTTGCTTCCTTATGCTTGAATTTTTTATACAGACTTTTTGTATTATATAATCTGTCCTTTTTGAAGAGTATTCTTAGCAAACAATTTTGAGTAGTTTGCAATTTTTTTTGAGCGTTGTGGTAGAGACCTCCCCATATTACTATGCAATATCTTAAAATTGACTCAGCTAATGAGTAATAAATTATGGAAAGGTTTTTCCTGCTGAGAATATCACGTAGCAAATAAAACATGTATTTGTTGCCATAATTTTTTTGTTACATATAATGCATGTTCATCCCACCTTAGGTGTTGATCCACTATCACACCAAGATACTTCAGTTTATTAATTTTTTTCAATCTGTGGACAACCTCTGAGGCATATCTCATCACACGAATTACTATGTACTGAAATATATCTTTCTGTAGGTTGGTCTTCACTAGTTAGAGAGAAGGTGATGAAATTACTTTTCTGAAAATTTACTGTTAATAGGATGTAATTCAACCAACTGTGGATGTGAGAGAGGCTTGATTTAGTACATTCATATACCTGTTTCCATGTATCATTTATGAAAACAATAGCAGTATCATCTGCATATGATACTATGTGGCCATGAAAGTTATTTAGATCAGCAATGTCGTTAATATACACGAGAAACAATATTGGACCCAGCACTGAACCCTGCGGAACACCTATTGTGATTTTCAGTGAATCACTGAGACACTCTTCAATTTTTACTTGCTGTGTCCTGTTTTGTAAATGATTTTTTAATAGGTTCAGTGCTGTGTATATAGTTTCGCCATAAATGTTTTTGTTTTTATTATTGAATATGTTTTTATCTATTGTGAATAATCTTATGTATATTTCGAGTAGTTTTTCACGAAATATTTTCTTCTATTTTATTATCATTACTTCGAAATCAATATCATATTTTATTTCTAGCTGCAAACCTTGATAGTACCTACTTCAGAAATTTCATACATAATAAGGATTCACGAGTGACGACTTTTTATGCAGAAATACTAGCGTTGTACATTGAAAAATAGGATAGCAAAGTTTTGATAGAAAAATTAGTTATTATTGATTTTTCAGAAATCTGTTTCGAAACTATCATTCAACTGTGTACAACTGATGACTTTTCAATTGACTGAGAATAAAATTAACACAGAAATACATTTTAATATTGAGAAAATGAAAAAATTTGATGAAAGATATAAAAAGTTTTTTCCAAATAGATTTTGAACTTCATCTTTACTTCTTTGAAAATTTTTAGTTTTGGCTAGGAACTGATCATACTAAAAATATTTTTTTCACGAAATACAGAATATTTTTCATTGGAAACGATCATCAATACATTTTTTCCGAAAATTCACCCTTGCGCAGCCACCCTTGATTCCTCCCTGTGCCCAACTGACGTATAAGTAGACACCAATCTGCTCTAATATTCAGTACAGCGAATTTTCTTTTGCGAATTTTTCTCGTCGTTGGGCCGTTGTCATGTTTCAAAAAGTTTTTGTCGTGGATGTGAGAGTCACACTCGAAAGTAAGTTTCATTGTGGAGACGTGAGTTGACAGTTGAATCACGCACTTTCTGAAGGATTGGAAATCCGCTCTTTCTGCTTTCTGAAGATTTTTTTGTTTTCTCTCAATCACTTTATAGGAGGCCTATGCGGCACCGAAAACGAAACAAACCGTATACTTTTAAGACATGTTTGTTGAGAAAAAAATGCTATAAAACAGTTGAAAAAGCAAAAACTGTGGGAACAGTTGAAATATTGAAAGAGGTGAAATAGTAAAATGCAAAAACAGTACCTCCAGAAATACTCCAAAGTATCAGATATTGTTTCAAGACTATACTCATACTCATTTATGACAGTTACAGATAAGAGATCGAACAACTACTATGCATTATTGTAATATGAAATTGATGAAATTATGGAAGTTTCAATTCTTGTTATTATTATAGAACAGATCATCAATATGGTACTAGATCCAGAAATCTTTTGGTGTCTGCTTTGCACAGAACTAACCTATACCAAAAAATTTGAGATGCAAAGTTTTTAATCACCTCCATGTCTCTATCCCCAAACATCTCCAAATATTAATATTTTCAAATCTAGACTTAAAGCATTACTTATTGAGAAAAACTGTTACAGTATTAGTGAATTTATGACATAATTCTATATTTTATAAAGATGTTTTCTTTTTGACAATCAAATGTTATATTCGTGCTGTTGTTTTCAAATAACATTTGTCATTCGTACCTACTATGACACTTTTAACCTTTTTCGATTCGAGTTAACACCCGAAGACGATTGTGGATACTAACAATCGAAACGTCGTGAAGTAACTTGGCTTGGATTCTCTTAACTTTTTATTTTTATTTTTTGTTCAATTGTTCAATTTTTACTTGTATTCTATTTCACTATTATTTTTCTATAATTCAAATAATAATATACTTCTATTCATCATTTCGTAGCTTACAGTATTCATTGTCGAAATATTGGAAATATAATGATATAAGAGTATACCTAGGCTTTCGCTGCATTCCCACATAATTTCAAGGCTTTATTCAATATGTATATTCTAATTATTGTGTCGTTATGGTCGGTATGGTTTACTCAATCAGATACATTAGTTATAATATGTTATATCTATTCATTCAGAATATTTGAGAATTTTTATTTGAAAGTTTCCTAGAGATATTCCTCCGCCCAGATATCTCTTAGGTAAATTATTGCAACCACAATATTCCCAACTTCAGCGTCCTACAATTACAAACCTACAACTCCTTTCCGTTGAACTATTCGAGAAGTCGCATTAACAAATCTTACTAAACTTTCTAGTTATTGGAAAGGCGAGTTTCTAACATGTCAAATGGAATTATATTCAATCATATATAATTTTACCGCTTCCTTAGTGAAACAAGAACTTGCTAATGCCTTTTACTTAATGAATTTTGTTTAATGTTTTCCATCCTATTTGTTAGTAGTGACGTATTCTGTCAAATTCTATCGTTGGACATGGAGAAATTGTTTTTTTGTTTCATTTGAAATATATCAATAATTTTATTATTTAATTCCTGTGGTTCTTGGGATATTGCAAGAATTTCACAATCGAAACAATCTGAGAAAATAACTTACATTTCGTGATGAAAATTTTATTCAAAATAATTAATGATGATAATAAATAATACGCTACCGAATGGAAAAGAATTACATCTATGAATTTCATCAGTTCGGACTTGCATTGTCTGATATTATTATGATAATATTATGATTTGAAATCCCTGAAACAACTAATAAAAAGAAAAATAAAATACAAGTGAAAATAGGGATTCCGAGCCAAGTTACTTCACGACGTTTCGATTGTTAGTATCCACAATCGTCTTCGGGTGATGAAATTAAATCTGTTTGGATCAAAAGAAAATGAATAGTTCCGATAAAGTAGTATTGAACTCAATTTTTTAAATAAAAGTACTGGGGTGTTTTCTTGTATTTTTCGGAATTGAATGCAGATATACAGGCTGTTCAAAAAATAAGGTCCATGTTCAAATTTCGCGGGCTTCGTACATTCGATTAGCGATTTTTTTAATTTTCAATGTTGGTACACTCGTTTCCAACACTTGTTTACAGTTTCAGCTGTTTAACATGTTTAGTTTGTTGGTGAGGGGCATAACAGCTAAAAGTTTTTTGCGTGTTTGCCGATTTTCTGCTATCGAAAAAAATGGATCAAATGGATGAAAATGGAATTGAGTGCAGTGGCAGTGTACTCTGAGTCAGACACATGTTTCAAATCTAATCAAATCAGTTTATTTCCAGAGACTTTACAGAATGGAAAAAGTCAATTAAACCAAAATATAAAAATTCACAATACAAATAATTATATATATATACACACATAAAAGAGTAAAGATATGAAAATATCAAACAGAAGTATGAAAAAACATGAAATTGAAAAATATAACAATTGAAAATAGTACAGTCTGAACTGTTGCAATCAAGTTATTAATATTTCCAAATCAGCCTGTAAGTATTCATGGAGGAAATAAAATGTATTGTCATGTAACAGTTTTTAACATTTTTTTTGATGGAATGCAGATTTGATAGCTGTTTAAGAGAGATAGGTAATTTGTTGTATAACTTGATGGGCATGATTAGAGGGCCGTTTGCTGCATTCGTCAATTTATGGTGGGGAATAATAAAATTATAGTTAGATCTTAACGTATATCCTGTGGCGAGCCGAAGATTATCTCTTGATTTAAATTTGTCGAGATGACATTGTTTTGACATAAACAACACGGTTGAATATATATAGTGAAATGATAGTTAGAATATCCAAATCGGTAAACAGCTCCCTACATGAGTCATCATATTTTTTGAAACACACTGTTCTCACTATCTTTTTTTGAGCTATTACTAATTCGTTTATTCTTGTACAGTTACCAAAGTTGATGAGACAATAACTGAAGTGAGATTTAATATAAGCACAGATAGATATATTTATCTGATCATGTTATGTATAAAATACATTTATGACAAGTCAGACAAGTCTATAAAATAAAATAAACAGTAAAAATTTGTAACAAGTTTACAGGGTATATTAACATATTCAAATTAAGTGTGAGAGCAGAAAAAAATTATAAAAACAGCTATATATAAAAAGCGCCATGAAAATATTTTTTACATTACCGTATCGTATGATATTAGAAAGTATTATAATGAATAAGAAACATTTTTCATATCATTTTCTCAAATATAGCTGTTTTTAGAATTGTTTCTGCTTCAGAAAAAAATATAACGTTGCTTAATATTTATTTATAACAAATTGTTAAACTGATAAACAATTAAATAATGGATGAAAAAAACATTTTTTTTTCGCCAAACTATTTAAAAGTGTAAATTATGATTTTATAAAGCAAAATTATTCCTTAACTAATTATTTAAACAATCGAAATATACCAAAATCGATTTTAAACAATTAAAAATTAAAATTGAGAAAACGAATTTATTTTCAAAATCATAATTTCAAGTGTTAAGAAGATACTAGAATTTTTTCAAGTTTTTAAAATGACATTTTATGTTATAAAAAAAATATTTCTTTTGATAAACTCTCTTTAGCGGCAGCGCGCGCATGCCGTAACAGCCGCGCGGAACCCAATTTTCAAAGTCGAATTGAAATTATAAATGATGGAGATAGAGTTCCGGTAGTCGATACTTTTTTATTGGAAATTTCCTCCTCTTTAACGAGCTTTTTTCAAAATTGCTTGAATATTAATATTTTTTGAGTTATTAACGAAAAACTAAATACCATTTTTTTAAATCTTATTTTGTTAATAACAATTGCAATTTTTTACCTGCACCAAAATCCTTCAAAAACATTTTTTTAGAGGTGATTCTAGTGTTGAGCTATCGCTCATATTTTTAGGACCTTTATCTCTATTTTTCATGTTTTCGAACTTGTTGATTAGACTATATCAATAAAATAAAAACTGCGGCTATCAAAGTTGATAAAGAAGATAACAATGGAAGTTATCGTTTCAGAAACGTCGAGAATAGCCGACATAAATGTGTAATGAAACCTTTCGAAGATGTGGAACAAAAACACTAGTGGTGACATCAAAATGTAACACACAAACAGTCGAATGAATAATGCGAACCCCGATTGAAGTAAATATTGGTTCAGTCCAATAAATCCTTTGGAAAATGAATGGGATTGACAAGGGAAGTTTCGTTTATTTTGACTTCCCTATAAACTAAGAGATGGGATATGGACTCCATCTCCAAATTGAGTTGAAGGAGAATACGACTCCTTTGATATCTAATTCAGACAGTTATTTACCGCGAATCTTCAGTGGATCAGAAGCTCAAATTCCTTTGATGTATCCATATCATGAATTGATGATTCCTGAAGAGACATCACGATAAAGGAGAATTCGGTCAGTGACAGTAGAAATATTTTGTACATTTTCGCCCAGTCAACTTTTTTCAAAAGACGTATTCAGAAAGCGATCTTTGAAGTGTATTTCTCCGTGACTCCATTCCCTGGAGTATCGAGTAGTGAATGTACATTTTGTTGATGTCTGAGGGTAACATTTTCTCGAGAGAGGGAGTTCCGTTTATGTTTTCAGATATTTCCACTGGAATAAACTATAATACAGGTTGGATATCCTACGTTATTACTTTAGTGCATGATGAAATTCCTTTGAATGATTTCAAAAATATCATCAACTTACTTCCACATTGAATGAGGGCTTTTATCTCAGCGAATTCCACTCATGAAACTTTTGGTGACTTTGTAGCAGATTCCGAGAAAGTGTCTTGAATGGAACAGTCTGCACACCCTACACAGTGGGGTGTGCAAATACCTGCTAGATAACAACTACTTTTCCGGCTAATACCACGAATGACATTGGAGCAGCAGGACTGAAATCAATCAAGTGATAATCCAATACAGTTTCGGAGAATTGTCTCATGTTAGTGTAGGACAGATCAAACCAAGCAGTGTGTCCAGCCTGTAGATGCTTACTCGATTTATTTCAGCTAGATCTATTTGTTGAACGGATAGAAGCATCTTAAAAAAATTATTCCTGAGGATATGTTTATACACGTCTGTTGGATATACTTCAATACTCTTCGAGGTATTAGCCAGGAAAGAAGTAGTATCTCGGTAGATACATCCCACTGAGTAGGGACGTGGAAATTGAGTTATTCACATGTTAATAAATGTGTTCGGTTTATAATAACTGATTCACATTTGAGATCGCACATTCAAAGTAAGACTATCACTACTACTCACGTTTGATATTTTATCTAGAAGCTGAGATAGCTCAAAGAAGGCAGCTGATAGGAGGTTGAAAAAATTTTGGTTTTTCTTTGAAACATACTTTCGAAAACTATAATTTTTTATAGAATTGAGAAGTCAAGAGGGTGTGGATGATTTACGACATGTTGCAATACTCTCGAACGTACGCACTTTCTAAAAGAAACGGTAGCCTTTTACACGGATAGGGGATAGAGAGCTATAACATCATATAACTGTCTTCATCCATCCCCAATAATTCGGGATGTTCCTGGATATTCCCGAACTATCCAGACTGTTTTGAAATATTGCAGAATTTTCAGGAAAGTTCTGGAATACTAGAGAATGCTTTCGAATTCTCTCAAATACTCTGGACTGTTTAAGGAATATATTGGTGTTGAAATATCCAGTATTTTATATCTCCAAAAGCACGCCTTTCAAATCAAATCAAAGCTAGCCATTCGCTGGCCTTACATCTTTATAGATCTTGAGTTTATCTCCGATGTCTGGGTATTACGACTGCGTAAAGTGTTTTTGTGTTGGTGTGATAATATCTGTACCTAGGTTAGGTAGATTGCGTGAAGCGAAAAATAGTGCCATGAAATTGCTCTGACTCTACAGAATTTACACATTAGTTTCTGTTTGGTTAGTTTCTGAATTTACTCTATTTGGTTTTTCATTGCAGAATCTCAAGTATGATATTCGAAAAATGGAAAACTTGAACTTCGTGACTGTTCTGCTGTTTCTCATCTTCCAGGAATGCAGTGAAGCTGATATATCGTAAGTTGGGTGGGATGGAAACATCTTCAGACAAATTTGAAATTTTCTGTGAACGAATTCAATAGCTTTATCAATATTCAATGTCAATATTCATTTTGAATTTGAAAGACAATGAAATGAAGTAGTTGATTTTAAATTTGAAAATCAACTATGGTTTTTTATTTACGACTATTTAGAAATTGGTAAAATTTCTTCTTTCGGGTTCACGATATTATTTGGAACATTCAATTAGAATAATGTATTTTTGTTCTCTGATCACCAGTTCATACCTTCCCTACCTAAGTAATATAGATCTAAAGTGGAGTCACCCCTATTTAAACGCGACCAAACGAATCCAGCTGGCGAAAATAGGGCTTTGGTAATCGCTGAAAACTTGATTTATTCTGTGGCTCTGCAGAACAAAACATGTGATCTTATATCAGGGTCAAAATTACTTTGTGACAACCCACTTCGAAGTTAACAGACCATGCTAAATTTTCCTCAACCTAGTGAGGATGTGATCGGAAATCAGCTTGCGATTACTCTTTTTAGGTAGTCGTACTTCCCAAAAATGAATGTTTGGTTTGGGTACTAGGTGTCTTGTGACGCACACCAGGTAAAAGAAGCTCTTCTCAAACTCTTAGGTGTCCCGTGTCCACTCAGTAATTCGGAAATCATAGCTGTGGATCATCTTCTGGAATACCCTCTAGAGCAGCCATAATGGCATACTGGAGAGGTTTCAGTTGATTGGTCAATAATGAGGTTGCCGGATGTTCAAAGTGCAACATTCCCACCTACTAACCGCAGCAACCTACCCATATGAAGGTATGTGTAAGTCAGCCATACCTGATGAATATCTGATTCTGTTTTGCAGGGCTTCTTTGACTCTGATTCTTGCAGAAATTTTTTCAGTGGTTTGGTATAGGCTTCCCATATCAGTAAGTGACTACTTTGATTTGCAGTTGTTCAATTAACTCTCGAATGAGGTACAAACTATGAGCCATGAGAAACTCAACAAGAATATCAAATGGTTTTTCATTAGTAACTCCTTCCACACTTTTGATGAATATGAACTTTGCCACCTGTATGGCCACAACAATGAGTTGAAGTTGTTCAATTATCTCTCAAATGAGGTACAAACTACGAGCCATGAGGAACTGAACAAGACAATCAAATGGTTTTTCATTAATAACTCCTTCCACACTTTTGATGAATATGAACTTTGCCACCTGTATTGCCACAACAATGAGTTATCATCTAGGCAAATCTTTTGATTTGGAGTGATCCACCTACAGTATTACAGGAGGATTTGCGGACCCTGGTGGAGACTGACCCATCACAAACGGTGCGTGGGATGGTGGAAAAACTGGTCCTCAGTTGCCATGCGATGGTCAGTTGCCATGATAGTTTGAAACGTATTCCAAAGGTCAAAGAGCTTGAAAAATGGGTGCCTTACGATTTGAACGATCGATCGAAATTGTCAGGTTTCGAGGTATGTTCTTCTTTGCTTTTGTACAACTAAAATGATCCTTTTTGGGATCATCACGTGTGGTAAAAAGTGGCGAAAGTTCACCAAAAAAGGATCATAGTTACTGTATGGTAAGTCAGCGGCTAGTGTGATTCACTATAACTTTTTGAAACCGGGCCAAACCGTCACATTGTGAGGAAATCGACGAAATGTACGGAGAATTGCGTCAGCATCAGACGGCAACAAAAGAAGTCCGATCCTGCTCCACGACAACGCCCGTCCGCATGTTTCACCCTCCAAAAATTAACGAAATATATATGTGATACTAGCAAATCAATTTATATATTTCTCTCTCTCATCTTCATTAACACTGTGGTTGTACCTTTGCATTGTTTATGTTTATTAATTGTGAGTTGCTACAAATGTTTTCCACACAAGTTAGTCAAATGAAGTGTCAATCTAACTATATATGGTCTGGGCAGGTAATTTCAATAACTCCTAATATCTCAACTTCAACTGGATATCTAAAGAAATGAACTTTAAACGTTCAAGCCAGTCTCGAATATACCTGCACAGTAGGTTGAATGGACTGACGTCTATCAGAAAATAACTACTCCCCTGGCTAATACCACGAAGGGCGTTGGATTATATCTGATAGGCGGCAGTGCAGGAATCTTCACAGAAAATTTCCTGCATATGCAATTGGCAATACAACTGAGCATAGCCCACTGACTAATAAGGAAGTTTTTCTTCCTTATTCACAGAAATCGGGTAAATTTCGGATATGCAGTTGGTTAGTACCTCATCCACTAGATGTAGTGACATTTTGTTGTTCACTTCAACTTAGGAAGAGAAATGAAATACTCTGAAAGAATTTCAATTTTCAATTATGGAATATCATTGACTTCAGGCCGATGATGGCCACTATCTTGCACTGATGAGTGGCTAATGAGCCCGAAACCGGTCTGCAAGTGTACCTGTTCCACACTTTCAGTTGTATTGCATATGCAGGAAATTTTCTGTGAAGATTCCTGCACTGACGCCAGTCGGATATAAACCAACGCCCTTCGTGGTATTAGCCAGGGAAGTAGTTGCTTTCTGATAGGCGTCAGTCCATTCAACCTACTGTATACGTATATTCGAGACTGGCTTGAACGTTTGAAGTTTATTTCTTTAGATTTGTTTACTGCCAATCTTCAAGCATAGCTCACTGACTAATAAGAGAGTTCAACTGGATAATTTGTCTCGAGAAGAATATCAAGTCAAGATGAGTCCGGCGCACTATCACTTGAGCCAAGTCACTGCCAAAAAAACAGCAAAAAAGTCTCTTGTGGCAGTGACATTTTTACTATTTTTGAAAATAGATAAGAGTGCCAAGATTTTAAAACTGAAGAACCCATTATTTGTACTGCATAGGATTCGACAATTTGACAATTTTTTATTATATTGTTATAGCCGACTATAGCTTTAGACACTTTTGTAGTCGTTAGGCAGAAAAACCCTTCAGATTTGTGATCATCGGACAAAAATACGCAAATATTATAAGAAAAATTGATAATTTTTCAAAAATTACGGCAATGCCTACAAACCAAACCTTATCTGAAATTCCATAAAGAAACGTTATCACCCTCAAGTAATTGCTCAAACTGCAATCTAAACTTTCAAAAAGTGTCAATAACGCAAGAATTTTTTCACAGCTTATGTCCCCTGGACTTCTACCACGAAAAAAATACTGAGAAAGTAGAACAGGATAGAGAAGAGCTAGCGTATGTTTTATAGTTCATCAATTATTTGATACTCAAAGTATTACCGTTTCAGGACCGGCTTGACGATTCGCGACATTCTACCCATAGACCCGAGTAAATATGACAAAATGAGGCCTCCCAAGAGGGACGGAAATCCCACTATTGTTCATTTCCACGTCACCGTGATGGGACTGGATAGTATTGACGAGAATTCCATGGTGAGTGTTTGGTTTTTCAATATTAGGAGCGGTGATGATATGTACTTTTTGGAAAGTCCTTGAGCTATCTCAGCGATTCGGTTTTTATATCATCAATCGTGGCAAAACTCCGTGCTTTCATGGATCTCTTTAAACTTGGAACAGAAAAAATTCATAGGGCGAGTGTCGCCATTCCCATCTTCTCGACTTTCTGTGAAAAGTTTATACCACTTGTGAATATTTTTCTAATTCAGAGTACAATCACCGTATACCACTGTCAACATTTCAAGTGTTTTTGAGCACTCAACTCCATTTTTTACACAAAATTTTATTCAGATTCTTTTATCTATATTTTCAGTCAGTCATTATATAGACATTACAATTTGGAGAAACTTCTCGAATCTGAAACCATAGTTTATGAAAAATTACCTTCTAAACGTGGGCAGAAGTACCTTCATTCGTATAAATGAAATATTACATTAGAAATGTTTTGAATTCATCAGTTACATTCAACAAATATAGAATTGAGTTCGTTATTTCTTTGGAAGTCATAGAACACTTTGAATCTTGCAACACTCATACTTAATAAAAGACCATCGCCGTCGTGGGGATTTTGTCTCAGACAAGTAAGATATGAATTTTCTATCATTCTCATAGATAGTGTTTTCAAAAGGAAACATGTCCAAGCTTAACTATACTCTGGCTTGTTTTTTGAGGACAGCAATCACTGATGCTTAATTTTTTGGATTCTGATTGCAACATGTGCTTTTGGGTAGCATGAAACTCAACCCTTCTCTCTTCTGTATTATTATTACAGAAGAGGGCACTAAGATGTCTCTGTAAAGTCAAACCCAGATAATCGTGCAGGAAATTGTTCACTGTCAATAAAATTTTAACAGTCATCGCACTTTTTATCCTAGAGACGGTTTGCCTTATTTATAAACATAAATCGAAGTTCAACTTTGCTTCTACTCGCTATGCTACTCGTAATAGTAATTATACCTTTAGACTTCCCATCCCAAGTTCCATTTTATTCAAAGATTCCATATACTATGATGGTGGTAAGTTGTTCAATCATTTACCATCAGAAATGAGATCTGCAAATTTAAGCAACATTCATTTCAAAAAGGCGGTGAAGACCTACTTGTTGATAGACCCTATTATAGTTTGAAAGAGTATTTTAGCGAATCTTTTTAACAATAGATTAACAATTCATTCTTTGTACTATCACTTTATACATGGTGGTGTTTTATCTTTACACTTTTAGAACTTTTCTTATATTTACATTTATGAATTTTTGGAACTTTTTTATATCTACATTTATATTTTTTCAGAACTTTTTCTATGTCTATATTGTATTTCTTGGACTATGTCAATAGGATGCAAATCTTCGGACAATAAAGTATATTTAGATTTGATTGATTTGATTTACGTTTTTAACAAAATTGTACTACTCAGTCCTACTAATATTCCAGAAAAAAAATCATTTCAACAAACAACCTGACGGATATTTTTTTACTGATTCCATCAACTCTTTTATGTATAGACGTATGCGGCAGATATTTTCTTCGCCCAAACCTGGAAGGATCATCGTTTGAGGCTACCAGAAAATATGAGCACTGAGTATAGGCTTCTGGAGGTGGAATGGTTGAAGAACATGTGGAGACCTGATTCGTTTTTCAAAAACGCCAAATCCGTGACTTTCCAGACGATGACTATTCCAAATCATTATATGTGGCTGTATAAGGACAAGACTATCTTATATATGGTTAAGTATGTTGATTTCATTACCATTTTGTGGATTTATGATGCACTGATTTGGAACCTTTGGTTTAGTAATGAATATTACTAGAGTTTTTTCCCAAGACCAAATCGTTATTTTTAACACCTCGACACGTGTTTCGATCACCAAGTGATCATCTTCAAACAGGAAGATTAAAACTAGAAACTAATGCGAGCTAGCCCTATTTATGCTATATAAGTATCCCATTAAGGTACACCATCCAGGCGTACCGCCCATACAGGTATACCAACCTAAATTAATTTTACAATATATGTTTAGATAAAACAATTTTCAGCTATATAAAAATTAATTTTCCACAATATTGCCTATTGGATAGGATAGGATATATAGGCAATATAGGCAATATTGTAAAATTAATTTTTATGTAGCTGAAAATTGTTTTATATAAACATATATTGTAAAATAATAGATAAGGCAAAATTGTAAAATTAATTTAGGTATTTAGGTTGGTATACCTGTATGGGTGGTACGCCTAGATGGTTTACCTGTATGGGATACCTATATAGCATAAATAGGACTAGCTCGCATTAGTTTCTAGTTTTAATCTTTCTCTTTGAAGATGATCACTTGGTAATCGAAACACGTGTCGAAGTGTTGAAAATAACGATTTGGTGTTGGGGAAAAAAAACTCCAGTAATATTCATTTTGTGGATGTTTATCCTCGCATATCTATAGAGAATACACAGAAGTATTTTGAATTTTTTTTTTAAATTGAAGGAAAGTATTTTTTTGTGAAGAAATTCAGAGATTTCATCTACCTTTTTTGTATCTTACCTTCCACAATTTGAAAAAATATAAAAATTGTGATGTATAAAGTTCTCCATCACAATTTTCTGCAAGGAAAACAACCCGAAAGAGGTTGGGGTTTTGAAAATGAAAAAGTATTATTTTCCAACTCATCGATTGTACAAAAAGAATTTTTAGGGGTGAATTTTTTGAAAAGAACCAGTAACTGACTGACTATTCAGTGGTATATATTACACAGTAACTTTTTGGGGTAAACCTTTCATTTTGCCCTTTATTTCACTTCAGCAGATTCTTCTTTATTCCTCACATTGTGAAAGGTCGAACATTCAAGAAGATGTTCAACCTTTCACATTGACTGCTCCACAAAAATATTTTTTCAACGAATATTTCCAAATAAGACTTTATATACATATTTATGAGACAAATTACTAGCAATCATCGAACCAAAAACATAGTTTTCAATGATTACTATTTTTCTGTGAAAATATGCCTATGAAATTGTATAATTCATTACTAGAAAATATATGGGCAAGAAAAACAATAAGAAAATTTTGGAAAATGAAAACGTTGCTTCGAATACTGATGAACAATCAAGAACCATCGCACTCCTGAAACATCAAATGACCAACATTTTTCATTTCACTGGATTGTGAGAAGAGACATTACTGGATGTTCTTCACGATCATCAGATTTGTCGCCTTTTTATTACTTCCTATGTGGATATCATGAATTAGGTACCAAAGTACGAAATTCAAAAATTCAAACACTACTGTAAAGGAGATTTCAAGAACGTTGAATTGACAATTTCGGTTTGGTTGTCACCCTCTTTTGGAGGTGGAAACGAAGAAAACTGAAAAAAATATCCACTTGTGTCATTTTTGTGTCCAAAAACATTGAACTGAACGATTCCAGTGTCGAGTTTCAGGAGGATGTAATTTTTCTTTATAGTAGTTATGATTATTCACAACTTATGCATCCAATAAACCGGTTCCAAGTGAGGATTTCCCTTTGATGTTGGTTATTTTCCACATTTATAATTCTAACATTTTTTTCAAGTTCTGTAACTCTTCACCTCTCTTATTATTTTTCTTATAGTAGTGCACAGTTTATCAACAAGACATAAAGCACGCCTTTTCTTTTTTGATTTTATTGTTGACTCTGAACCTAGGACAATGTTTCATTTAAAAAGCTTTACTTATTAGAACATAGAACAGAAATTGTTGGAGATTTTTATGGTATTAGATGGGCTGAACAGTTCGCAGGCTAACACAGATGACACTACTAGTGTTGAATCTATATAATTTTCAGTTAACCTTAACCTTCAGAAGACACGTATACAAGTTTCACAGCTGTCGGACTATTAGTTTGTGGGATAGAACATTTTCAGTGAAGCTACTTCTGTTATTTCGAAGAAAATGGATAGAAAGGGATTTTGTGTGTTAATGTAGCATTGCTTTTTGGTAAAAAATTTCTGTTGAAGTTAAGGCTTGGCTTGATAAGCATTATTTGGACTTTGCACCAGGAAAATCAACGAACGAGGTGAAATGAGCACCGAGGACGATGCACGCAGAGGACGATGCACGCAGTTGACGTTCACACGATGATTTTGTGGACAATGTAGATGATATTTTTTTGTTAATTTTATTCATTTGCTTTTAATACTTGGATACGATTGATAGTTGGAAAAATAGTTGGAAAACAGTTGTTGTTGAAATATACATTTGTCAGTTCTGATATTATTCGCTCCGGGGCGACTTCATTGATTCCGGTGGTGCATGTGCTTTTTCAGCTACAGGAAAACCCGAAAAAACCTGCAGCACCACATCATCTGAAGATCTTAATCTGCCAATGTCCTCTCTTTCATAAAACAAAATCTAAGGTGTCTCCAGAGGCTTCAATAAATTCAAAACATCGTCAGAACACTTCGTGACACGACTATCGTCAAACTTAAAACAGTTCGTTTCGTCTTTGACCAAGGCGTAATAATGACTAGATTCAACGCCAGAATCACACTGAACAATGACTGCATGAAGATTATAATGGTGGTCTGCTAGATTGAGGTGTTCATCTATTTTGAACTTTCGTAAGAGTTTGGTGCATCCGTCAGAGGTTGAGTCATGTTTGAGGATCATCAGTGACACTATCAGATTGACTGGTGCCTCAGCTGTACTTGTTTTCTTATAATAGTCAGTTAGTTTGGCGCATGTTTGGCAATACAGTTGATCGTCACCCGTTAAAAGCTCCATTTTCAGATAATTCGACAATGAGCTTTGCACGGATTGGTTATCAGTCATATTAGGAAACGGTAGTTGAAGTTCCAGAAAATCACATTCGTTTTTGCTACCTTTTGAACATTTACTACAAAGTAAACAAGTGATGATTTTTCCAGCAAAAGATCTACAAACACGAGACGAGATAGACTACGGAATCATTCAATCCAGAGCGGTAAGGAGTATTGATTCTGCTATTGTTTTGCCCACGAAGAGTATTCAAGAAGAGTCACAAGAATTCGGAACAATCCTCTTGTTGTCCTAACGATTATCAAGTGGAATCAAAGACTCCAGGAAATCGGTGGGAGGGAAAGATGATACATTCTTACAAAACTGCAGCTGCATGAACAAGTGTTTGAGTTTGGTGAATGACTAGGAAACATTCTCGTTCTTGTTCATCATTAGAACCTCATTTTTGAAATTCTTCATCATGAACAACACTTGTAAAATGCTATTTATGTAGCAAGTGTTTCCTAAATTATATAATTCAATTTTCTTCTCAAGATTTTCAGTACAACCCTCTACTGATTCGTAACAATAGTTGTTAAAATATAAATTTGTCAAGAGAAAAAGTCAGTTTCAATATAAAAAAACATTTTCTGCAAAAGTTTGAGCAGTTCGATATAAAATTTTACAAACATGGTTCCATCATTTTACACTAGAATCAAAACGATCGTCATCTTATTGGACTGCACGTGGTGAAGCTACCCCAAAGGGTGCAAAGACGCAACATTTGTCTGCAAGGTTATGGTATCAGTATTTTGGGATGCGCATGGTATAATATTCATCGATTATTTCGAAAAGGGAAAAACTATCAACAGCAAAAATTACATAGAGTTATTGGAGCGTTTGAAGGACGAATTCGCGGACCCATTTGAAGAAAAAAAAGTGCTGATCATCAAGAAAATGTGACAAATCAATGAAAACGATGGCAAAATTGCATGAATTGGGCTTCGAATCCCCTCCGCATCCACCGTATTCTCCAGATCTGGCTCCCAGCGATTTTTTCTGTTCCAAGACCTCAAGATGATGCTCGCTGGAAAGGAATTCAGCGACGATGAGGTGATTGTCGAAAATGAGGGCTTTTTTGGGGCTAAAGACAAATCGTACTATAAAAATAGTGTTAAGAAATTTTATGACCGCTATAATCATTATATCGTTCTCGAAGGTAACTATATTGAATAATAAAATCAAATTTTATGGAAATAGTTTTTTCTATGTTAGCCTACGAAGTCTCCAGCCCAACTATTACATCTATTTGATTGTCTTTCAACTTCTAAACCTGAAATATTTCATTCACAGGTTGACATTGCGCCTTTCATGTGCTATGAATTTCATGATATATCCCCATGACACTCAAGAATGCAAGCTTCAAATGGAAAGCTGTAAGTAATACACACATACTGTTTAGATAACTTATTGACTATTTCCATTTTTCCTTGAAAAACGATTCGAAGCTCTGAACTCGAAGAAATATGTGTATGTGCTGAATAAAATCAATTCATTTGATCAAATTCTTGTTTTCAAAGTATCTCATACAACGGACGATATGATTTTCGAATGGGATCCAGATGTCCCTCTGGTGGTTGACGAAAACATCGAACTACCCCAGTTAGCTTTGGTGAAAAATAACACTGCTGACTGCACACAAGTGTATTCGACTGGTAAGATACAAATTGGTTTCCACGAATTGATTTTATCTGAATGTTTGTTTCAGGAAACTTTACGTGTTTAGAAGTAGTTTTTGTACTGAAGAGGAGATTGGGATATTATTTGTTCCATACCTATATTCCTACTTGTCTTATAGTCATCATGTCGGTAGGTCAAAAATCAAAATAAACTAATGTATTCCTTGAATTCATAGTAAAAAAACGCTCGTAGTTTCAGGTATATGAACATTTTTATTTGGGGTATTAAAACATTTCATTACTGCATGAAGTCTTCTATAACAGGACAAGGCACACATGTAAAACGCTATGTTTTCTTTTATCTCAATCGGTTTGTGGTAATACGGAAATAATAAAAAATCGTCGCGCTATATTAATTTTTTTAGGATACCATTCATGATTTACTCCTTCAAAGGCAATTTTATAGGTTTCGTTGAATTTTATCGAAATTTTGTATTAGAATTTTTTCAAAGTAATGCTTTTACGACCTATTCCTCGCCTTGTTTGTTACAGTTCTGTCAAATTAATCATTTTCTGTTAATGAATAATATACACTTATATATTTCCCTCAACGTTCGTTTCACTGTCCAATGGTTAATGTTTACTGTCACTTCTGAAATGATAGTCATACACCACCAATTTTTAGATTACTACTTACTCCAATGACCTTTGCCACTGCTGACAGTATTCATGCTTCACTTTGTCAGTTTCAGTATTTGGAAAGTATCTGTTCGTTATTTTGTTTAAGTCAGATTTATGGGCCCTCCCTTATCCTTTCGGCTCTTTGAGTTTTTCTTGGGTTCCTGTGGCGGGGCGGCATGGGCACCCATGGAAGCTCTCTGGGTGTTCTCCTTTGCAGTTAAAGCATCGCAAGGGCGAGTTTTTTAGGTCTTTTGCGTCCCTTGGTCATGTGCCGCCCGGCACATCTAACGCTAGTTGCACACACACCGATTTTGGACGGCCGACTTTGTACCGGTCGTTCAAATTCCAATAGTGAACCACATGTGGGAACGGGACCTGACACACACGCCGACCGGTGATCGTCGCCGGTAAAATACCGGTGAGCAGCCGTCCACTGCCACTGTATCGCCGGCAGTACCGGGAAGTAGTGGCGTACATGACTAAATACACTCCTGCATACTCACCGGTTTTTTACCGACCATTCCAGTCTCGAATGCTCTGTGAACTATGCATTAACTTCGTTTTGGTAGTGCGTGCTAATTACGACAACAAAAGCTGGTTGTTTGACCGATAAAAATCCGGTGAGTGTGCAAGCACCCGCTACCAATAAAATATCGGCCGATTTTATACTGGCCGTCATTGGACATTTATTCAATTTAATATAAATAAGCGACATTTGGATCAATACACTTCAGCCAACGTAACAAAAGTTGATTAATTCCGTCAGCATGAAAATAGTAAGCTCGGAATTCGGTGAAGTCAACGAAGGCCATTTTTGCTCAGTTCATTCAATGTTCGGACGGTAATTTGTGAAACGTGCGAATGATCGTAGTCGTAGAGCAGGTTGGACCTCTTCTGTTTACTAGTCCCGGTTGCTGCTGATTTAATTTTTGGTACATTTTGTCGATTTCCCCACCATGGGACTGCTGTGATGGTTTGACATAGTTGCAGGAAGTTATAGTAAATCATATCAGTCGCTGATCACCATAGAGTAACCATGGTCTTTGCTTGGTGGGATTTTGCCTTCGGGAATTACCTGGGTGGCTGGAACATCTCCTGTTGTCGTAGAAGATCCATTTTTCATCACATGTAACGATCCGGTCCAAAAAATGACCGTTTGGGTTGCGCAAAAACAGACCTTGAAGGGTGACAACTTTGTCGATCATTCAAATCGTGGAGGGCCCACTTTTCAAGCTTTTTGACTTTTGGCATACATTTTAATCCACCAGAAATCGCATAGGAGCTGACGCCCAATTCTTTCGGCGTTCCACACACCATCAGTCTCCACCAGGGTCCTCAAACCGTCCTCATCTTCGAGACTAATATCTCCAGAAGAAAATTTCGCAAATCAACGTCTAACAGTGCATTCATTAACAGTATTAATGTATAGAGTACTAAATTCTCTATCGATCAGTATCGACACAGTAGAATGAATATTTATTGAGATATGGAGCTACAAAAATACGTTCACATGGCGTCTGAAATAAGATTGACCAATGTAACTATTATCTGAGTCTTCACAGCTTAGTCTTTTCAATGTTTTCAAATTACTTAACATATTTTTACAAGTATCTATAATTACTGAAAAAAATTGAATACATTTCTTTAATTCGATCCAATCCTCCATTCTATTGTGGTTGAAAAAGATCAGTCAACATTGAATTATCGTCTTTTTGAAGAGTCGACATTTATTTTTTGACCTAATCCTTTCAGTCATATTCCTGATAACTTTCTCATCAATGCATCTTACTTTTCTTATGGGGAACATTACAGATCTATTACCAATAAACTCTAGTTCTGATATTTTTGTTGAAGTTGATAATAGTAGAAATTACAGGAGTGTACAAGAAACTAGAATTTTTCCTGTACAAACAAGTATACAGAAAGTATGGTGTATGACTATCACTGAGTAAGACCTGCAAATTGTGTGAGATGAATGTGCCCACAACACAACTGATGAAGTATTAATTTTTTCAGTGGGTTTCCTTTTGGATAAAGCCAGAAGCAGCTCCTGCCCGTGTCACTTTAGGGGTCACATCTCTGCTCACACTCTCAACACAGCATGCAAAAAGTCAAGCAGCGTTACCACCCGTTTCATATTTGAAAGCAGTTGATGCCTTCATGTCAGTGTGCACTGTGTAAGTAAGGATATTTGAACTTTCGAGGTGAGTTAGGTTAGGTTAGGTCCAAAGTGAGTGGGTCTCTTCGACCTTCCGCCGAAACCCGCAGGGGTTTATTGTGGCTCACACCTGTTCACAGTCGACCAAATAAACCCAGCTTCTTAACGAAGCCGATTGGTTTGTATGGTGAGTGGTCTTTCAGGTCAGATGGTAAGAGTACGGCTCTGCCGAACTCTAAAAACCAAATTCGGTCCCCAGCGGGCAGGCACAAAGTATATGCTCTGCAGTTTCATCGTTAATGAGGTAGTCGGACAGTCAAGGTGCAAGATTCCCAGCTTGATACCCGCGACAACCTTCCCATATGAGGATATTTGCACGTCAGCTAAACCTGACGATGCCTTAGATTCACCCGTGCAGGGCTTTTTCGCCTCTGGTTTTGGTGATTCATCCCAAACGTTTGCTAACCTGCTCATGGGGGGTTTGTTGCTTCACCTGAGAAAGGTACCCCGCTCTTGAGGAGACGACTCAGTCCTTTCCTGGCTGCACCACCAAACCTTTTTTTAGGTTCAATTATCAGATCAGGAATTGGAGAGCTGAGAAGCTCTCGCTCCTGATCTGAATTTACAAGGAGGTCAGTTGTACTCATAAGCTCAACATCCATCTCCTTTGTAGACTCAGCGTCAGAAAGAATTTTTAAGTTCACTCTGTCCATACAAGTTCCACATGTAGCTAGGGAAAGAAGGTCAATCTTGGCAGAGCTCCGCATTACCGTGACAAGGCGATGCTACGACGAGAAGGCGCCCGGTATCTCGAAGTTTCCGTTGAGACAACTGATAGGCTCAGTGTCATTTATCCTCTCGGCAAGGATAAACACACTTAGAATTAAGTCATCGTTGGGATGCCATTCAGTTAGGGAATAACAACCACAAGTGATTCTGTCATTCTCGTATCCAGCGGGGCTACGTGGCAGCAGGCACCCCATGGACGGTTTGCTCAACCCCCACATCCCAAGCCAATGCACTCGCCAAAAACAGCATGCACAGTGGTTCAGTCAGTGAAAGATGAGTCAGTCAAAGATTATTTATTTATCAACATAACCGGTTTTTAGAATGATCAAATTGGTTTCTAACGATTGAACCAGCACCAGGACGTTGAGCCATTCTATATATTCAGAATGAACTAATTACCAGATTACACATTAATTTTTGATATAGCTGAAGATTTTTCTAATCTCCTTTGGGTATAGTTTGAGTTTGAACCTTTTTTCAACGAGAACAAAATGTCTCTTTTTGATATTATTTTCGGATGACGTACTTAATAGGTTTTTGGAAAGGGTCGAAATAATTTGATTGTGGCCTGATGATCAAAAAACTTTTTTGAACCTATGAAAATGTCCGAAGAAACAATAAACTGTTTTTTTAACAGTTTGTCTTCCTTTAATGAAAACAATGGAAACGAGGAAGTTGGTACTGTTTCAAATATGGGTGTCTAGCCATTCAAGTCATTGAACTGCACTTTGATATTATTGATAAATTAGTGTCATCTGTTTCAGATTCGTCTTCATGGCTCTAATGGAATACTGCCTAGTGAACATCGTACTTGGCGACTCTGACGCTCCGAAACCACCCCCTAAGAAAACGAATCCACCTCCCAACAATGTCTTCGAGATGGTCTCCAAAGATAATTCTTTGCTGCTTGCCGCCCCCAAGTCAGCACAACCACCTGCTAACTCAGCACACAAACAAAGGACGAGAGCCATCAATATTGATCGGTTTTCCAGAGTCTTCTTTCCTTTGCTGTTTACTATTTTGAACTGTACCTACTGGATACTTTTTGCAGAATACATATAAGTGATTTTGAAGTGAGAATGGGCAGTTTGGATCTAATGACCATTATTGTTTCGCAACTAGAATATTTTTCTCTATTCAATTCAGCCGTTGGAGTTCAGGAAGTAATTTTTAACGAAGCTGATGATATAATCGGGAAGCTAACGGTTGAGGCGTTTTTTATTCGAATATAAAAATATTATTTGCTCTTCTATAAATCATTTTGATTCCCTCAACCAAAACAACTTACTTACAAACATACCGAAGATTTTTGAAAGTGGTCAAGTGGTCTAAAGGGGTGATCTTGCAGGACACCTGACAGAACCATGTGTTCCACTCCATGAAAATCTCCCGTCAAGTCAAAAAGTGCCGCTTTGTGAGGATTTCGTATTATTATAAAGAAGAATAGGAGGTGTACCATAAGTCTGTGTCACCCGGTATAGTGATGGAGTACCTATTTTATTCTGATGTTTTTTGATACAGTAACGTTTACTTATATTGTGATTCCTATATGATATTGATTTGTTCATATAACATTGTGACATTTTATTCTTCAGTTGTTGAGCATTATTATGATGTTGTAAATAAGGTGATATATTTTGTTGAATTCTGTCATAATAATTCAAGTATGGTATGCATTATAACAATTTTGATTCGGACAAATCACATATAGGCTTTGATAGCCTTCTGGTATTATACATAAATCGTTACAATTCAAAAATGAAAATAATTCAGAGAACCTCCATAAAACGGTTATGCAATCTTTGTTTATTCAGCAACATGTTCAAATTTATTTGTCGTTTTCCTGTGAACGGGTTACCATGAGCTGAATTTGTAACCAAGCGAAGGGAAACTATGAAATATAAATACTGACTGAAGATGAACAGTACTGACTTTTTCAAGGATCAACGCGATCTTGATAGGTTATATTTTCTCCAGACTGCTCATTTTTTTGTTCAAGTTTTCGAAGTAGATTTATCAATGAGGCAATAGGTTAAAAAATACTTGAAAATGTAAAGATTCAGTGATTTGTTATAAATAAAGGTCAATGAAAATGTCAATTTCATTTGAAACTGTTCTTCACTTCATAGGAAAGCTGTATGAGTGAATATTTTAAACTCATATGGAAATTTTCGAATCGAATAAAGAAGAGTACGAATTTCATAAGAATTTTATTTTATCTAGTTGATCTATTGAATTGGTCATAGAAAGCTTCAGTGGGAACATTTGAATACACAATTTTGTCCAAAAACTTCTTGTGATTGTTTTGTTCATCCGCCATTCTCTTGTTTTCTTCTGCTAGTTGCTTGTTTCTCTGCCTGAAACAGAGAAAACAAAAATACACTGAGTATATCATATCATATATGCGTTTTATGTATATATACATTGTAATAATCCTTTTTTGCACAATTTCACTAACCTTTGCTTAGATTCCAATTCACGATCCATCAGGTATATGGTTTTTTGGATTCCATTCGTATAGTCATCCATTTCTTCGTTCATTCTTTCTTCCAGCTCCTTTTTTTTCTGAAAAGAATTTTTTTCATGAACATCATCGAATCATTCAAAAAATCAGACAAGACAAGGTCACAAATAGCAATGACCCAGAATTTAGTGAAAAATAATAAGAATAATAGGTCTTTATTCCCAGAGTGACACAATAAATAACTGTGAACATTTATTGTTAAAATAACCAATAGGTGATGTTATTGCAATTGGAAGTGATATGTGGGATAGAAACGTTTTTATCAATATGAATAACAACCTTTATTTCTTCGATTTGAGCCAATTGCTCTCTTCTAATCTGCTTCTTCTGTTCTTCGGTCATCCCTTTATAAAGAAAACCAATTTTTCTTCCCAATCCCAAATTGCTTTGAGCTACCTCTGGATTTTCGGTGAGCATGTCACTGGTCATGGCGTTACAAATTTCTGCTAGGTTATCATTTCGTGTTTGATGTTCCAATTTCTGTTTCTGGCATAGCTTCTCTTCGGCCTGCAAAAAGTAAAATATGTAACTTCATTATGTATATATCATTTCAATATTTAAAGAGATTGATACAATATTTTGTAGTAGTTCCAAATATTAAAGAATTTGTCTGTTAGTGGGGAAATTACTCACAGATTTTTAATAGAAGTCACTTTCTGATGTTATAGAAAAGCAAGGAAATGGTTTGATGAGAGCGAGAACTGGCAAAATCTCTGGAAAAACATTTTTTTCAATAAACAATGTCAATAAGTGAAGCTTTTAGAGCTTTGATATATCATTAGTAACTAATCAATAATTAACATTTTATCAATAAATTTGAGAACTCCGTAAAAAAGTGCCCCACTGATCATTTTCCGAACTTTTGGTGCTTTGATGACCAAGTAACACAAATATCAATGGATAACTTTCATATTAGTCAGTGGAATCGAGTAAATTTCGGATATGCAGTTGGTTAGTACCTCGTCCACTAGATGGAGTGACACTTTTGTTGTTCGCTCCAACTTAAGACGAGAAATGAAATACTCTGAAAGAATTTCGATATTCAATTATGGAATATCATTGATTTTAGGTCGATGATGGTCACTATCTTGCACTGACGAGTGGCTAAGGAGCCCAAAACCGGTCTGCAAGTATGCCCGTTCCAGAATTGAAGGTCGACTCTTTCAGTTGTATTGCTAATTGCATATGCAGGAAATTTTCTGTGAAGATGATGATGATGATGAAGTAGATGTTTTCTGATAGGAGTCAGTCCATTCAAACTACTGTGTAGGTATATCCAAGACTGGCTTGAACATTTAAAGTTAATTTCTTTAGATTTATCAATGGATACTCTGTATAGAAACGAAATAGCAAATTTCTCCCAAATGGGACCCCAAATGATATGCTTGTCTTTTGTCTGGAAGAGCAGCGAGCAAATACATTGAAAAGGCCGGATTTTGCTTTCTTAGAGTGGACTTGCCATAACTCTCCTGAACTGACAATGTAATTGTGAAACTGATAATCCAGTTTTACAGTTACATTGCTTTATCCCGAGAACTAAACTCCTCTTAAAAAATATTCCCTTTCAAATTTGAACGAATCACTGTTGTCCAAAAATCCAAACAATGTATAGATACAAGAGACCGAAATAATGAACGAATTGAATATCCACAATTCATATATGATATTGAGACATTTCATTTGAATCGAAACATTATTCTAGACAGCAGTAATTTCATTAACATCGAAAAGAATACGCGACGTACAGTTGATGCGTCAAGTAAGTCACGTGATTTGACAGTGAGTGCTGGCTTTACGGTCTCATGTCAACGTACGATAGAATTCAATAATGAATTCCTATTCCTCATATATTCAAACATTGTGTCATCAATAATTGTACTTTTTGTTGAAAATTCTGGTGTTTCAGGCGATTAATTTAAATCAATTTGTGAATTGATATTCTGTTCTCATATCGATGCATTCAGCTGAGTATATTTCAGAAAATAACCTTCACGAACACCACTCCACCTAAAAATTTTCTCAGAAAAATGTCTAGGTTTTATACAAAGTTTATTTTTTTCTGACTCATGATTCATCATGCTGGTTGTTCTCATGGAAATCCTAAATAACAGAGTTTTCATATGACGCACTGTTTGGAACCTTTGGTGTAGTGAATATTACTGGAGTTTTAATCTTCCTCTTTGAAGATGATCACTTGGTGATCGAAACACATGTCGAGGTGTTAAAAATAACTATTTGGTGTTGGGAAAAAAAACTCCAATAATATTCTTAACAGAGTTTTCTTTGGAAAAAATTAAAATTTATAGATACAATCTTGGTTCTTGTGGTATTTCTTTCGATAAATATCTGTAAACTGTTCCACTCTTATCAGAAAGCAAAGTTCCATGAATGAGTAAGTGAATATTATTCACACTATATTATAAAAAACGATTGTGAAGAATTTGAAACTTCACAGTTTCTTATTCCACATCTCCAACACTCACCAATGCTTTATTAAACTTCAAGCAAGCAGCCTGTAACTTTTTTCTACATTCCCGTTCCATCGCTTCTAGTTCTAAGGATCTTTGATCGCGTGCTATCAGTGCAGCTTTGTAAGCATCTTCGGCATCTTTTCTATCTTTTTCCGCCTTTTCTTTCTCTCTCATCTGCTGATCTAACCAAGCTCTTATTTCTTCGTGTTGAATTTTGGCTCGCTGATCACTAGAGAGGTCTTCACCTTCAAACCTGAGAAAAAACATTGAGACGCGTCACAAAGAACACTTACAATATTCTTGACCTGCTTGGACAGGATAATGGAGATGATGATAATTTGAGTATGGTTGTAAGGAATGCATGTAAAACCAAATAGTTTGTGAGTAGAGTTGGTCATAGACTTAGTGAAATTAAATACTTCTTTTCCATTTTGAATTTTTCCAGAAGAATCATGGGTCTTCATTCTTTCTCATTTACATACATTCCATTTCGGAATTACAGCTTTCTGGAAAATTAGTACTATTTGCTGGTGATAAAACTTTGATATATACAAGTTAACTTTGAGTTTCGAAAAATCGTCATTTATGTTCATTGATAAAACGTCCTGTGATACAACAACTCCCAAATTAGTCTTGAGACACAACAAAATCGAAAGTTTTTAAGTTTATATATAGATGAAACTCTTACAGTATTCAATTAGTGGTATGGAAAACTGCTTCAAATACAACTTTGAAACCATTGAGAAGTTCAGAAAATCTGAGGATACACTACAAAAACACACTTTTGTCTATTTTCCACTATATTTCTTTATAAAGAAATAACAAAAAAGAAATATAGTGGAAAATAGACAAAAGTGTGTTTTTGTAGTGTATCCTCAGTGAATATGAATTTCCACAAAATAAACAAGTCGTCAATCGAAGAAGTGAGTTCAGAAAATGAAGCTACTGAATGCATTTTCAATCTACTTTTTCAGAACCAACTGAAAATCCATATAAACCAGAGCGATTACTTGATATCGATTCTATTTAAAAATAAAAAGTATTCAACTTTCTGCAGTCCGCTATAAAAAATGAAAAATATTTCACGATGAAATTTTTCGAAGAATTGACATTTACATTTACAGTAATCTGGGATGATTACATAAAATGAATTACCAAATAACGGACCAATTCTGAAATAAAATCTGTTGAAATCTATTTTTCCGTTAACCAGCTATCGCTCCCCTACAAATGACAACTCTTAAAAGTTGAAACTTGTGCGAGCTAAGAACTAAGGAGGTTTTATATTTTAACGAGTGATTCCTAACACCGGTTGGACGATAGGAAGTGAAAATCGATCATCCGACCTTGCGGTTATAACCACCGGTTCGCACAGCGGTCGATTGAATGAGCAGAGCAAACCACCCACGTCAACACATCAGGTTCCCTTTGAAGTCATATATCTATGTATGAATAATTCTTGTATGAATAATTCCCTGTATAAACCATTGTACTTTCTTGGGAATAAGTAAATAATAATAATTTGAAAGAATTTGTGTGTTATCATGAATAATCGTTGGAAAACATATGAAACACTTCCAGAACTATATGTTTCTTCAGCGAGAAGAGGTCGTTTTTTTCAATGAAAACTGTTATTCCGTTTCCACCTAAGAGTCTGTGCGTTGTCAAGATATTCCTATAAATATTGTTGCTGCTTTGATACGTGTTCAAATTGACTATAGTACAATTCCATAATAGTAGGCACTGAATTCTCAAAAATATAATTGCATTAAAAATCAAAACGAAAACACTGTTGTCAAAGTTGTAATTTTATATATTTTATCATCATTTCTCTTCATGTGTTTAGTACAATTTCCGTACGCCACTGCAAGGGACAGATTGAGGCAAAAACGTCAGTCATTTCTGGGAATTTAACGCTTATTATTTTGGGATTATATTGTAACTCATTGTCACTGGCGATTTGAGCCATTTCCAAAAAAAAATATTTCCGACATACGATGGTGGTCTGAAAAAAGTTTCCGATCTCAACATGAAGATGGCAGCACTCGTAAATAAAAGCTTCGGAATTTATTGTTCATCTGTTGACAGTTACTCACCAAACTTTCAGACATTTTGGTTGTTTGAGTGAGTTGATGTGAGTGGACAAAATCGAGTATCGAGCTGTCATTGAATATTTGTTTTTGGAAGGCCTATGTAAATTAAAGATGAGTTGTATTCTGTGTATGAAGACTTTACACCATCATTCACCACAGTGACATTTTGGACAGCTGAATTTGAACGTGGCCGTAAGAGCTTGGGAGACGATGAACGTTCGAGATGTCCAAAAACTACAACTACCGACGACCGCAGAATTGAAGTGAGAGAGACAGCAGAGGTTATAAAAATGTCAAAAAACGTGTTTGCCACATACGAGTATTGAATCAACATTTGGGCATGGGGAAGCTATCCGCGCTTTTTACACCGCGTTTGCTCACGTTAGACGAAAAACGTGTTCAAATAAACATTTCCAACGCTCTGTTAGCGCAGTTTGAACGCCATAAATTTTAGTTTTGGCGCCCAATAATAATTGTAGATGAAATTTGGATATACCACTATAAGTCCGAAACAAGAACTTTCACAAAAACGGCCACATTTGCAGAAAAAGAAAATCCTGTTCCACCAAGATAACGCACCGTCTTCCACCTCAGCGGTTGCCATGGTAAAAATTCACGACTTACGGTTTGAACTGTTTGACCATCCGCCTTACTCACTAGATCTAGTCCCAAGTAACTTCTTTTTGCTCCCTCATCTAAAAATTGCACTCGGAGGACAGATATTTTCATCAAATGAAGAGGCAAACACCATCGTGTACAATTATTTTGCAAAATGAAAATCCGAGTACTATTTGGACGAAGCTCTTCGTCTTACAGAGACAGGCTTGTCTGGCCATCAGTACCACCACAGTGGTGCCATCAGTACCACATCGTCAGCGGCCATGGATATCCCTCTAGATCCACTTCTTCTCCACATTTTTCTGGAGAGAGAGGCTTGATGGACTGCATATGGACTTTTGCACATTACCAATTGCACAAATCAATTCAATGCAGAGTGCAACAGATTGTTGGTTGATACTGGAAGTCACAGCATTCTGGAAATGACCTCTGACTTTATGCCCCCAACTGTCAACTACGAACTGCCTTATGAAGTACTATTCTCAAGTAGAGAGGACTGGATGCTCGGGGAGAAGGAAATATTAAGAGCAGATAGTTGTTGGTTCACAGATGGATCAAAAACACCTTCTGGTTCTGGTGCAGGTGTTTTCAGTCGCAAACCCAGGACAGAAATATCTGTCTAGGAACCTATGCGACTGTATTTCAAGCGGAAAGTTACGCTATTGAATTGTGTGCAGAGAGATTGGAGGAATCCAACCTCATACATAAGTCAATAAAAATATTCTCGGACAGTCAAGTGGCATTGAAAGCTCCTGGCTCCTACCGAGCCACGTCTAAATTGGTAGCAGAATGCCAAAAACGACTCTCCTCGATAGCTCGATAGGAAGACTCAACATATTGTCTATGGTCTGGATTCCTGGCCAAACAGGCCTGGAAGGCAATGAGGCTGCTGACTCCCTTGCAAAGGAGGGTCATGCAAGCAATTTCATCGAACCAGAACTGTCATTGGCATCGCTTTAGGCTTTGCTAAAGAAAGGTTGAACTCCTGTATGGCAATAACATTCAAGGACTTCTGGCAGAATCTTCCAGGATTGGCTCACTACAAGACGTTTATTCACTCTTTGACGCTTGACACCAAACAGTTGTTGGACTACAGTAAGGATAAACTACAATGTCTAAGAGGTATTATTGCAAGTCATTGTAATTTGAATCATCATATGCAAGATGGAGTGTGTCGTTTCTGTTTGGAAAATGATGAAACAGCAGATCACATACTTTGTGTCTGCCCCGCTGAGGGCCGAACCTGGTTTTTAGAGTTCGCCAAAGCCGTCCTCTTACCAACTGACCTGAAAGACCACTCACCATACAAACTAATTGGCTTCGTTAAGAAACTGGGTTAATTTGGTGGAATGTGAATAGGTGTGAGCCACAATAAACCCTTGGGGGTTGCGGTGGAGAGTCGAATAGACTCACTCACTTTGGACCTAACCTAACCTAACTATTTGGAAGGGTTACATACATTGGAGTATAGCTGGGAGAAATGTGTAGTGTTGAAACGAGTTGAAAAATTAAAAAAAATCTGAAAAAGTGTCTTGTATCTTTGTTAGGTCAGATACTTTCCAGGGCACCCTCGTAATCTCTCCACTATAATAATTGTTTTGCTGCATGCGTTTAATAAAAACATGGAATACTCTCAGCGATCACAGTGATATTTTATTTACCTTTGAGCAGAATGTGCCACTTAGTCTATTTTTTGTAGTTGCTAAAAATTCACTTTAACTTGTACTATGAAGAGTATGAATTTTACTTACTTTTGAGCAGATGAAGGGCCCAATCTCGGATCGTCATCTCTGATTCGACACGGCAGCGCCTTCTTCATAAAATTCGGATCATTAAGATCGAATTCCCGCCTGTCTTCTGGTTTCTGGTAATTCTTCCGATAATTGTTAATCTCCTGCTGTAGCTTGATTCTCTCCTGCGATCACATAAATTCGAGCAGGATTATCTTAGGGATTGTCGGAGATGAACGGGAAGTCGCTTCATTTCCGAAATGGGTGATGGTGACGCTACTCAATAGGCATTATCGCAGTTGAACGAATGGTGGGATTAAAGAAAATAATAGAGTTTGAGAATCAATAAATTTGTGGTTGTTTAATTAGTGCTGATAAAATTTATTATTGGATATACAGGTGATACGAGGATGTATTGGAAAATTCTGCGAATCAAACAAAACTTGAGAGTATGTTGTACGGTGCTCTTAATTGATACATTTATTACACGCCTTTGGACTTTGGACCATTGAAAAAATTGCTTTGCAAACAAGGCTCTTTTCACCTATTCATTAAAAAGGAAAATTGCCCCATTTTTTCTTCATGAAGATGCAGAAGTAGAAACCTAAAAAATTCCTTTCCCAATCATAAATACTCTTTGGAAAAAACAGATGGTATGGAGAAACAGAGTATCTCCATTTTATCGATTACTGCGCTCTGTTTCTTAGTCGTAGGAAGTACCCAAATTCTTCTTCTGAACAACTTTCATTCAGGAACCTATTGTATATTTGTCCAGATCTATGATGGGCGCGCTAACATATTTCATAGTCGCATACAAAAGACACTTATAGCCCAGGGCACATCTTCATAAATTTGCTCTCCTCTTACCCGTTTCGAATGACAATTGTTTTCCTTTTTTTGATTGGGGTTGTATATTCTCACATTTCAGATGTGACGGTTTACATCTAAAGGCGACATATCAGGTGTTTTAGTGGGTCCTTCTGAGGGATTACGTCTGCCTAGCTTACCGTTTGGATAATTGATAAATCCAAATGAATATTCGACCGACGCTATCTGTCAGACGACGTACCTTCCCATTGTGGTACGAAGGTTCATGAGTGGCTGGATGGTGGATAGGCAAATGTGAACCCTCAGAATGCTCCGCTAGAAAACCTGAACGTTTCCTGCAAGTGGCCGTCGATGGATCTCTCCAATAATTTTACCATCACCCCTGGTGTTTCCCAGGGAGCCATATTGTCTCCAACCCTCATTTTATTGTATTTAAACGACTCATTGGAAACACCAAGAATCCAATATCCGGCTTTGTGGACGACAGCATACTTGTCTCGTCATTCCATTTGGATTCCAGGACATCGGCTGTGGAAGCACATCTTCACCTGCAGCAGGAGGTTACATATTTTAATGGGGATTTAGGAGTAATTTTGAATTGAGGTTCACTTCAATGCCACGATAACCCAAGAATTGGTTTTCACAAAAAGATAAATATTTCCGAATCGAAAAAAATTATGTCAGTACAGACAGATCCGTTTTCTGCTTCTGGGGGTTGAAATGGACTTAGCATAATCATGTCGCTGGAACGGCAAAGGCTGCTTCTTAGAAGCTTGAAACACTGTTTCGAACCAGAAAACTATACAAACCCCAGCAACTTTCAATGCTTTATGTAGCTCAGATCTGACCTTTTTTGGAATATTGTTCACATGTATGGATCTCTGCCTCTAAGCATACCTTGAAGCTGTTGAATTCCATCCAGAAAAGAGTCATTCGCCTGATTGGAAACACGAACATCACTTGCAACCTTGATAATCTGGAACATCGAAGAAGATTTTTCTCTCTTCTATAGTTACTTTCACGGAAGGTGTTCAATCGACTTGGCACATTTGATTTCACCTAGAGCGATATATATCAGAAATATGTGACGGCCTGTGGCTGCTCATAGTTTTGAGGTTCACCTCAATACACCTCGAAGTTCACTGTTTAAGAACTCTTCAATTTTGGAGAACTGCGTTTATGTGGAATAAACTTCCTGAGAACGTTTTCCCAATTGAATTTGATCTTCAGCATAAATCGCTACTTTCGCACAGGCCCCACATTTAGAGTATTTTTTTTATAGTGCTTGTGTTTTGTCCTTAGGTGAAAAATATGACGCCCTCAGAATTTTTATAGCGGAATCGTGATTTGTAGAATATACAATACATAAACACAGTCAGAGCCCATGAATGGAAAGTGTTTCGTATGCTTTTTTGTCGAAATCATGCAGTTTATCGTTTATTTGACAATATTCAAAATGAAGATGAAACTGCTAATCACCCAGGAACAGCAGTGATTTCCAAACTTCCATTGTCTAATTGTCTAATATAATATCATCATTCATGTCATCATTCCCAATGTTCATCAATCCTGTAAATTAATTAATCAAAATGTGTGTATATAGATATAGATATAGATATAAGACAGTTGATGGCATATAATTGAATACCCTGAATGTAAGATGGAAAGCGCAACCCAAGTTCTTTACTTACTTAGGTGCATTCATCTTCACACTGAGGGTAATAAAGCTGTATATATAAACTGTAAAAACTGAAAAAATTATTAACTATGAATAAATGAATCTTGAAATGGAAAAAAAAATATATAAATTTTTTCAGGGTTATCAAATCAATTTATATTATATTAGACAATGGAAGTCCGAACTGATGAAATACACCACGAAACATTGTCAACCAACTTCAAACAAAAGTGATTTCCAAAAATGTAATAGTGTTTATTTTTGAAAATAGTTGGTAGTAGCACCCTCTAGACAATAAATGATGCAATACTTCTGCCCTTTTCATCGAGAAGTACCAAAAATGATATCTTTTCACATAAATTATATCCGAACTTGATAACATGTCCAGTTCGAAAGTTAAATGAAGAGGGACCATTTATGTTCGCACTATATTCTGAACATTGTCGTTTATAATTTGCTGGAGTGAAGTAGTTGAAAAATGAAGGTTCACATCAACTCACCTCTCTCTCTTTCTGTTCTAGAGCAACAGCTATTGCATCAGATTTGGTGAGTTGCTCTTCAAACAGTCTATTGATTTTCTGCTGTTCAAGTTCTTCACGTCGCTTCTCTTCTATTTGATTTTTCAGATTTTCAGCATCTACCTAACAAATGAATGAATAACAAATTATTTGAATAGTAGCCAAGAACATAAGCTTGAGCTATGACTTGATGAAAATATAATGGATATAAAAAATTAAATTTTGAAGCGAATTATTAGAGTCAATATAGTTCTTGCGAAACATTTGATCGAATATACTTAGTTTGGTTAATTGATCATTATTCAGAAGTTAATACTTGGCACTTTGGTCTACTTTTGAAAATACGGCCAATTGGAAACTTAAAAAAAGAACAACTATTTTAGGAACTCACTTCGAGTAATGGAAACTTCATTTGAAATGCTTTCACAGAAGAGTCAAATCATCACACTCATCGAACCTCAATATTTTGCACAGATATACATTTTATGTAAAACGAAAATGCATTTTCTCGGCTATGTAGTTTCTCCGAAAGGTATTTGTCCAGATCCAGAAAGGATTCAGGCCATCCAGGATTATCGACGTCCTACCAACTTGAAAGAGCTACAAAGGTTCCTAGGCCTTTTTAATTATGACCGAGCTTTTTCACCGAGGTTTGCCGCTCTATCAAATCAAAGAGGGTGAAAAACATGTGGTGGCCTGGGCGAGTCGACTGTTGATAGAAAGGGAAAGACGATACAGTTCGAACGAAAAAGAAGTATTAGCTGCACTCTGGTGTATATTAGGTTGGAGAATTTACCTCCTGGCCAACGAGTTTACCCTTCATACGGAGAGCCGAACTTCAACCTATGTCAACTCTTGTCGACTGTTGAGTCCAAGAATCACGAGACTGAAAAATTATTTTGTCCCAAAGTAGTTCTTTTCTCGAATCATGATCTGCATGATGTCATCGCTGCACTAAAGTTTTTTTAGCCAAAGACTGGAAAAAGTACTTGAAAAAAACTAGCTTTCTCTCTAGAAGGTACGCAAATCTTTTCAGCCTTTTTTCAAAAACACTACACGAACTATGAACACTAGCAAAAAAGTGATGTTTTTTCTCATTTCTTGACCATATAAATTCCATCACATCGCATTTGTTCTTGTTTATTTTCTGCCAACAGAACCAATGAAAGAACTCTTTGTGAAAATGTAACTTCCATAAACAATTGTGTTTGTAATAATATATAGTTTGCTGAATTTTGAGAAAATTTAACGTTTTGTATGTAAAAGATGGAAATGGAAAGTGAATAATAGTGCCATTTTACAAGTTTGAACCTTGTATTTTTTGATCCTGAAAGGGTAATTTTTTTTAACTTTCGAGTAGTGGTATCTCCAAAAGTTGACCCAGTTTTGATGTTGGACCCCTGATTAACTGACAAATCACGCAGGTTTGATTAAAACATTATTAACTTAATGTTTTATTTAATTTCGGCTTGGTGATTAGTCAATTTTTTGATTTTCAATTTGGCAGGTTGGTGAAAATGTTTTTTTTGTGTGGAGAGACCTACTGCCACTCACTATTATTTCTATTATTCACGGACATAAAAATATTTCTCTAAAACTACACTCACCCCAATGAGTCGTGCACGAGGATTGAAAATCCTCTTTTTCCTTTCCTCTTCTAGTGCTCTTCGTTTTTCGATGGCTGCGGCTTCCCTTCGATCTCGTTCAGTCATCAGTTGGAAATTCAACATTTTTTTCAAAAATTATTCGCACTTGCGGTAAGAAAACGTCAGATTGGATGACAAATCAGTGGGGTGAAAAAACGTGTCACGATGTTTTGTCGATAGAGCACGGTATGAAAAAACCTTAGCAACCGAATTTACACGAGCAGGACCATGGAGCGGAGCGGGCGACATCTATGTTTTGTAATTGAAACGTCAAGCATGAGGGAAACATTCCGTAGTAATACACATTCAAACATTCTTTCAAACATCTGTCTCTTGTAATATTTTGTAATATAGTTAGTAGTGAAATCGATACCAGGTAGAAATTGTAAACCAGATACATTTTCAGTTCTTGAACACAGGTAAACTTCTGAATATGAATAAACTTATTAGTTTTATGGAAAAAATATTTAACAATAAGCCAATAATGTTCAACAACAAGTTAATAAGCTTAATGAAGTCCTTCTCAACCACCAGAGCAAGACGATATTTGTCGTGGAGTTTTCAGAGAAGAAAAACCGGATAAATATCGAGATTTTCTCTTCGAACTCCGCAGACTCTATCCAGGTCACTCTGTCAAGATGGGGAGTGGTCGTTGGTTGATAATGCTGGCGCGCCCTCCCAAATCTATCGGGGCTTCGGGGATAGGGCCTGACCAGCGCATACTACGGTGAAAAAAAAATAATAATATTTTATTTTTCATTTGACAATTACAACTTGTATTGTATCCGTCAAAACAGGTGAGTGAAATAAAATGAAATTGAACACACAAATAACTTAAGACTAAACAGTAAAACCAGAACTCTAGTGAAATTATGATCAATTATTGTACAACTTAAAGGAATATAAAAATGGTCTTGTTGGCGTGTTTTCTATTGGTATCTGGAGTTGTTCGGTGTGAAGTTACTACAATTTTTTACGTATATGCAGAATTAAAAAATTAATAGTGATGGATAAGGATTTTTAGATTCTTGAAGTGGTCTCTACAGGATGAGCGTTTCGAAACTCCATCTATAGTACGAATAATGCGCTTCTGTGCAATGAAAACAGCCAATGATGAGGTGGATATGCCCTAGAAGCGCACCCCCTATCTTAATCTGGAATCAATTTGAGCATAATATAATTTTAGGAGTTGTTCCTCGTTGAGGACGAGTTTGAGATTTCTGAATCGATATGTGGAGAATTTTAATTTGGATTGTAGTAGTCGACAGTGATTATTCCATGTCAGACACATATCCACTTCAAGACTCAAAAACCTGACTTGTTGAACAATTCCTACATTAACGTAAGTTTCTGTTGACATTATCACATCGGAACAGCTGTTCTGAAGATTATGGTATCTAATGGTTTCCGTTTTCTCCATGTTCAGGTGAAGGGGGTTTGCACTGAACCAATCTTTTACATATGTGAAAGTCTCATTGCATTTATCTGACAGAAGTTTGTCTGATTTATCTGACGTATCATCTGCGTACATATGGTCAGTCATCCAGATCATTGAGGTGTATTATAAAAAGAATAGGTCCCAAAACCGAGCCTTGAGGAACACCGATTGTGACTGCTCGTTTTGTTGACACAATATTGTCGATAGAAACGTACTGGCTACTTGAATCGAGGAAGCTGTGCACCCAATGGTGGGGAATGCCCCTTATTCCATATCTCTGAAGTTTATCTAGTAAAGTACTATGATCTACACAGTCAAATGCTCTGCTGAGATCACAAAAGATCTCAGCAGGACACTCACCCGTATCTATGAAATTCACCAGTTTCTCATAATACACTGTCAGTCAACTGCTGCTATCGTTGATTTTTTATTTAGGAATCCGTGCTGATTATTGGAGGAAATTTCAAACCTATTGCAGTATGCTAATAACCTGTTAAGGAAGGCACACTAGAATATAGAGTATGTTGTACATAGTGTTGAAATTGTGATCGCTTCGAAAACGTGGCACGCATAGGTGGAGTTGGTCCTCTTAACTTCAAAACTTCTCTTATGTTCAAATACTCTAGTTGTGAATTTTTTCAAGTCGTTCCTACATACACGTTTGTGCATGATCCACTTGTAGTTTGTAGACACCTGCTCTGTTTTTTTTTCTATCTGTGACTTGTTGTTCTTTATATGTCTACCCAAAGAGTTACCAGTCTCATATGCTATGTTAATATTTTGTTTATTCAGTAGTCGTTTCATTTCATCTGCTGTTTTTCCGGTGTATGTGGGTGTCTTGAAGGTGCCAGTAATATATTTTATGTGAGGGCATACTTGAACAAGAAAAATTGAAGTAGAAGTATTGTCAGGCAGGTGAAAGAGCCTGGCAAATACTCATGCAAGTTCTTTGGTGCATTTTTTGATGCCATGAGGTTTGTTGTTGATTGGACTCTATATTTCTGAAATTGAAATTGAATTCCATAAAAACTATTGTTAAAGTTATAGAAGTCGAACAGGGAAAGTTACTTCTACTAGAATGAAAACTACATCAATAATAGGTCGAATTGAACTCGATATGACGCTACAACCAAAATTACATATTCCCTATTTTGATTGTAATGACCATGTGTTAGTATACCAACTGGAGTTGGAGAATAGACAGCCTTAGTGCTTTTATTCCCAACAAAAATTTCTCCCAAGCGGGATTATTGAAATGAACACTTGAAAGGAAAGTAATGTGATATCCTCGAGGTTATATCTACTACTGAAATATGTATGAAACAAAATTATAATGATTCATTTAATTTGATTTTTTAATTATGAAAAACATTTACATATTGATTTTCAGCTGATGAAGGAATTTTTTGAAACAAAATAATAATCTAATAAATCAAGGATTTCTTTATTTCAGTCGATGTGCGGAATATAACAAATTTACAATTTTTCTACAACTCATATTTTTAGAACCATCGCTTTAGAGTCAATCTGAAATTTTCAACATATACAGAGCAATTTTAAATGACGGAGCTGTTTTGCAGAATTCAATAGTTTTCCAAATCGAAATCGAATGGAAGATACTTCACGAATTCTCTCATGGAAAGAGAAAAGTTAATTCTTCAGTAGAGCAGCCAAGGGCAAAGATGGGCAACAGTGGGTTGCCAAAAATAGGAGACAACACATACGAATGCTGTCTTCGTGAATTCTCCTCTTTTTGATTTAGATCATATACACTCTAAAACATCTTCATCTCTATTCATATCCTGGCTCCAGAAATCGCGCAGGTTTCCTGCGCTTTCCTAGGCTTCCTAGGCTTTCCTAGGCTTCCTAATTGAAATCATATTGTGCGGTAGGCTCCTGTTGGTGACTCCGTTCGTATGTGTTGTTTTCTATTTTCGGCAACCAACTGTGTCCATCTTTCCTATATCATTAGATGAAAGGTGGTTCTTTGAGAAGCAACTAATATTTGAGATATAAATGAATGAATTCACATGAAAGAATTCATCAAAATAAGTCCGTCATTTATGATTGACAGTAATAAATACTTATTTATACATATATTTACACATAGGTTACATGTGGATATTGCACAAATTTTAGAGACGTTACAGTAGTCGATAAAATTATTGCTATTTTGGTGACTTTGGTCAGAAGCGTGTTTGATTTTTTGATTGCAAGAAAACCCAATAAAAATAATTGTGATAGTAGCTCCAATTCAATGGTTAGGATGAGAATAAATATTTTTTTGGGTTTCGCACTACACAATTCAAAAAACTGCTTGTAATTCGGAATTACACCTCTCTTTAAATAGTCTAGTTGACAAACTCATGAATTGCAGACTTTTGAGGTGAAATACTCAGTGTGGATAAACTGTTTGTGACAACATCTATTTTTTTGTGTATGTACACTTGATCCAGGTGTGATTTGTGTTCATGAATTTGAAAAAACTTATGGTTGTTGCTAATCCGTAAACGGACAAACATCTAACAAGTCCTGAAATGTTCGTAGGCTAACATTTTTTTGATGAAATTCAATTTTATTATTAAATATAATTGCCTTTTGAGACGATTCAATGGTTATAGCGGTCATATAATTTTTCGAAACCATTTTTATAGTACAATTACCTCTTCATAAAAGCAACTTTTCTTACCAGCTTGAGAACAAGTCTGAGAAAAAAAAAGTCGCTGGCGGCCAGATCTGGAGAATACGGTGGATGAAGAAGCAATTCGAAGCCAAATTTATGCAATTTTCGTCCTTCAAACGCTCCAGTAACGCTATGTTATAGTAGCTGTTGACGGTTTTCCTCTTTTCAAGATAGTCGATGAATGTTATACCATATGCATCCCAAAATACTGATGCCATAACCTTGCTAGCCGACGGTTGCGTCTTTGCACGCTTTGAGTCGGTTCACCGCGTGCAGTCGACATTGATGTGAATTGATGGAGTCATGTTTCATCCATCGGCTCCTAAATTCGGGATTTTCATGGTGGAACAGCTACAAACACTCCACATAATTATTAATTTTTAGTTTTTGGTTGATTGTGAGCTCGCGCGGTACCCACATTGAACAAGAGCTTTCGCATACCCAAATATTCATGCACGATATGTCCAACATGTTCTTTTGATATCCTTAGAGTCTCGGCTTTTTCGATAAACTTCACTTTGCGGTCATCCAAAATTATTTTGTGGACTTTTTCAATGTTTTCGTCGGTAACGACCTCTTTGAGGCGTCAGCTGCATTCATCGTCCTCGTTCAAACTCAGCAAACCATTTATCATCAAGCCAAGCCTTGGCATCAACAGTATTTTTTTCGTCATTACGTTTGTCATCTTCATTTTCTTCAGGTTGGAAATTTTTCCCTTACCCTTTCAACTGTTTTCCGTCAGGAGGACGAGTGGTTCATAACTGAAGATGTTTTTTGGTAACGACATAAAGATCAATGACTTCGGAACGTCGCTCACGTAAAGGTTGTGCAATAGTGGAGACAGCACAGCTCCTTGAGGCACTCCAGCTTGGATTTCCATAACGGTAGACAGGGTTCCTTCAACTCGGAGCTGAAATGTTCTGCCTTTCAGAAAAGACCTAATCCACTGGATCAGGCCCCGAAGCAGATCGAAATCGAGCATTTTGTGTAGTAGACCTTCATGCCACACTCTGTCAAAGGCTTTGGAAATGCCCAGGAGGACGAGATGGACTGTCTTCCTATTGTTTAGCTTTGAGATGGAATTTTCGACTAGTCTGCAGCTTGGTGGAGTGTGCCCTCCTGAAGCCGAATTGTTCATCAGGCAGAACATTTCGGTCTTCAACTTCTTCGGTCAACCTTTGCAGTACAACACGTTCAGCCAACTTAGCCGTTGAGCAAAGCAGACTAATTGGACGATGATTCTGGGGAAACAGCGGGTTCTGGCCCTGTTTCGAAATCATGACGACTACGGCATGCTTCCATCTTCGGGGAAAGTATCTGAGGGCGATTGAACTGTTGATTATGCCCAGTAGGTATCTGTTTAAAATCTGTCTGTTTAAAATCTGTTTTTCCGTTAACCAGCTGTCGCACCCCTACGAACGACAACCCTCAGAAGTCGAAACTTGTGCGAGCTAAGGATTAACGAGGTCTTACCTTTTAACGTGTGATTCCTAACACGGTTCTGATGAAGTTCTCCGGGAGCTGCTTCAACAACCTAATATTAATTGAATCAACTCTCGGAGTCTTCTTGGGTTTGGAGGCCCTAATGTACCCCATCAGTTCTTCCTCCGAAGCTGGACGGATCACGTCGTCATCATTTTCCCTAAGGATGCGCCGAACCTGCTATTCCAGCCGGATATCACGGTCAATATCATCATCCGGATCGGCGGGGGAGTGGCAGATGTCGCGCTGTCCGTGAAGAAGGGGGAGAGAGCGGTTTTCATCTTCTCGAGCCTGCGGGTGACTCGCCATAGCTCATCATCCCCAGGTTCCAGAGATTCCAAACACTGACTCCACCTCTAGTTTCTGTAGTCAGTGATGGCCTGTTTAACTTGGTTGGCCATCGTGCTAGCCGCAGCCTTGTCTCCAGGGTAGATAATCCGCTGATAAACTCGTCTGAGTCGATTTCTCTTACGGATAAGGTTCCTTATCCTGCAAGGAAACTCATTGTAGCTTCGCAGAGGACACTCTGTCCTGGTTGTGGCTGCGCGGAAAGCTTTGTTCACAGACAATTCGAAATCCGCCACTGCCGCGTCGAGACCGTTGCGAGTTCAAAGCGCCTCACGGTCCGTACATGTCTCCACTAGATATTTTTTTCATTGACACAAGAAATTCTTTCTTATACATCTTCTCGAAACTGACGAAGTTGCTTCACTAAAAATGTTCTACTCCATACACTAGTAGATGGACAGTAGTAGATGTGAAATTTGTACATGTGTCTTTTGGAGGTTGAGGTTAACCAAGAATCAGATGACTTCAATACTTGTAACCCCATCTGTGTGTTAGCCTACGAACTCTTTAGCCAACATAGAACTTCCAAATCATCAAATATTTCACTTACGGTAATGTAATGTAATTTAATATTCTAACTTTGAATTTTGACTAGTAATGATGATTTTTAGCTTTATGCACTGCTGTCTAACATTTTTGATGAATGGGATAAAAATATCGCAAAAACACAGCCATAATATCAGTTGCTCCTGAAACAGTACTTTTTGGAGATCAAAAAATTTGCTTCCATGAAGATAGACCATACTCAGCTCATACCAAGACGGTCCATTAGTTCAGTAGTGGATGTGATCTCCAAAAAACTATAGGAAATAATTTCAAATATACATTTACGGTTCGAACTTTTCCATCATTCCACTACGAGCGCTTTGTAGAAGTATATAGAAAATCATACAAATGGCAAATTGAAGGTTTTGAGTTCAGATGAAGATATCAGAAGGAGAGGAGTTCAAAACAGGTTGGTTTCAATTGGTTTCAACTCTGAATCAATCAGTACTTGTAGAAAACCACACAAAATGAGTTTCTTTCAAAAATACCCCCTTTTTATGAATACAAGTTCTGATTTCCTGTGATTTTTGGTATATATACCGGGTGACAACAAAATCATTGTTGACGACGCCATTCAGACATTGCTTGGCGGAGAAATTTGGAATCAGGAAGAAAATTATAGTTCATCGAAGCCAATATTTATGATGGCAAACAATTGAAAACCTATTTCGATTCATCTGGAGATGAATCCAAGTGAAGAACTTTGAATGGCGTCCTGTGTATTTTCAGGGACCATTTGATAGAATATATATATTTTCTCTTTTCAACGAAATGAAAGAAGTGATCTTTTTCTTTCAAAACGGCGTCGTAGCCATTTATTTTCTCCAAATTCAATATGGCGACACTATAGCGTCATCTATGGAAATATTGTTAAACTAGTTGATGTAGTGGAAAACATGAGACAAATTAACTTTTCCTATTTTTTTTTATTTCAGTTTTAACTCCATTTTTCTCGAAAATCTCAAGAGGAAGGCATTTTTTTAATTAACGTTGAAGTGTATTTCTTGTACTATCAGAAACTATCTATGCGGATCGTTCTTTTGTGCCAGAGAAAAAAGAAAATTTCAAGGCTTTCCACCTTTTCTTATTATACACTATTCATTTTCGAGCATAACAAATGCACTTTTTCATGGACACAGGAAAACGTAGGTACATTTAATTCTTTTTGTGATACAAAAGATGTTTAGGTTAAAAAATATCACAAAACAGGTTTTCAATTGCTTTTCCATATTGGCTCCAATGAACTATACCTTCGTTTCGAATTTCAGATTGTCAAATCCAGAAACAATGGACTGAAGTTGTGAACGAAGATTTTGTTGTCACCCGGTATGTCCATGGAAAAATTGTTATGAAGGACTATGTAATACTGTGAAAATCAATCACTATCTTTGATATTCATTTTACAATCAATAACTAAATAATTTTGTAACTTACTATAAAAAGTTCCATCACAAAATAAAAATGATACAATTTTCGGTCGATATAGCAGAGTCAATATGTATCTTTTTTTATTATAAAACTGCATGAAAATCTAGGGATCTTTACATTTAAGTGTATTTTGAAACATCAAACATTATTATAAAAATTATTTGTGAAAATCGTAGAAAAACACATTGTAAGTTTTTTGCTACTTTTGTGTTTTTTGTGAATGAAGTCTAGCCACCGGCACGCAATTGCATACGTATTAGGTCATTTGATTCAACAAAGCTTTGCCCATAATCTTTCCAATAAAATTGACCATCCAAACCAATGATGCAAAATCTGCTGTGAGGACAACTAGAACATTTGTGTTGAAATTAATCGAGTCCCAGACACTTTGCTGCCTGGGTAGGATCTTTCCTGTACTGACGAGAGGTAATACCTCGAAACCGCGGTCTGCAGGTGATCTACTTGAATAATCCAGTGCTGCTGGACGAACGAGAAACATCTGTGAGACTAGCCTCTGTGAGGAATTTTGCATAAATATCTGTCGGATATAATTCAATATCCAGCGTGGTATTAGCCGGGAAAGTAGTTGTTTTTCGACAGACGTTTACCACACCCTACTGTGTAGGTAGTGTTAAACATCTATTTTAGCATAGAATTTCTGAATTAGAAATACGTGAATACGATTATTTCCCTACAAAATACTATTTATAAATTTTTTCTTTATTTAATAATTTTCTACCAAGTCACCCAAACCATGTAGATGAAAACTATGTATGATTTATTAATGCTTCCATCGAAATTGCGCGAGAAAAAAATTCAAGCTTCCTCACAAGCCGATGCGATATGCGTGATGGAGAAAGGATGCAATTGCGTTGGTTTTGGCTTTTTGATTTCCATTGTGAGAAACTTGGAAGGTAAGGATCACATTTTCGTTTTGTGTTGTCTTCAAATAGATAAGTATTTATCTATTTCAAAATTGAAATCGATACTTTTGAACATTCGTGAATGAACTATTTTGAAATTTTCAGGTAACTGTGTCATTGCCAGTTATGTACTGCCATGCTGACAGTTATAATTTTTTTACAGATTCTGACTATTTGACTGGCATCAACAAAAATTCAATTATCGAATAATGGAGATAAACGACACTCAAAGGCAATCCGTTGCAAAGTCAAGCTTTGACATCGATCGCTGTTTTCACTGCGCGGCATCCAGTCCAAACAAGAACCAAAAAATGCATTCGTGATCAAACGCAATTTTATAGTCAGGTTATTGCTTTAACTTCATTTGAATCCAACAATGCATTCATAGTTCAGCCTAGCACTATTGATGAGACCTATAGCAGGTCGACAGAGCGCTGTTTGGTTTTGAATCACGAGTGCTTTGGTTCTGGGGCTGCCTTCAACTAGTTGCCTTTATGAGAAAGACAACACGAATTTGGTTTTGCGCTCGACTGAATCATGAATGTAAAGTTTTACTCAACTGTCTTTGCAATAAAAAAATGGCGATGACATTCCCTCTTATGAATTTGCCTGCTATGGGATCGATGGAAGAATTAATCAAAAACGAATGAAGATCTCGAGGGCTGTTTGTTGCAAAGTCAAATTTTGTGTAGCCTCGTTTATCTTTCTTATCCGTGGATATAGGTAAGATAGTTGAGTTGGGTGATGCAGCCTAGCGCTTCGGATGAGGTATACGGCGAGCTGTGAAAGCGCTTTCTAGTGTTGATTGAGCATTCCAACTTGAATCGTTGTCTGGAGCGTTAAATCCCACACCTGATTCCACATTCCACACCTGACACCAATAAAACAAATAACGAATTTACATTCACAAATATCAGATAGTTCTCGTTCTTATTGCACTAAAACAAATATTGCTATGCCGGAACAGTCTTACAACGAATGATCCCATTTCAGTCCTATATCGAGCATCCCCTTCTCGATGTGACTAGCCAGCGGAGCGTCTTCGTCGACGTCGGGGTGGTTGTATCCCACGAGGAAGTGGCACGTTCCCGGGATGTAGGAGGGAAAATCCTTCGGGAGACACTCGTGGTCACGCTCTTCTGTTGTGAAGCCGCCGGCTCTTATTAACCTCCTGTAATCGAGATGAGATAAAATTACTAGACAGAGATGATTGCCGGTGAGACAGAGAAGTCGGCATGGAAACTTGTGGATATCAATCGTATAATTGATGAGAGGCCGAATTTTTCAGTTTCCAGAAATTAATAAAATATTTGATGTCGTGAGAAGTGAATTCGAATCTGGTATACCGAATAAATATATACCTAGAAAGATTCATCTACATAACAGAAATGTTTTAGGAGGTCGGATACAATGGTAGAATATTCACAATATGTTCCTATTGAAAATAGTGAATACAATTATACAGGATGTAACATAATTACATTGAAATGTTCAAGTGACGTATTGCTGAGACAATTTCGAGAAAAAAGTCAGAATGAATTTGTGTTTGGAAATGCTTCATTTTGGAGATACAGGGTGTTGAAATAAGTTATTTACACGAAATTTGGTACTCGGGTTGTTTTTTGACGTGGGAAATCATAATTATGTATTAATTTTCATGTAACATCTAGATAGCGCTGCGTATGCTGCCATTATTTATCTCAAATTGCCTAAACTTTTTTGGCACTGAACTTTTTGTAATTTTTATGAAAACACCTAATTTCCACATTTTTTCCAAGTAAAAAAGGTACACCTCCTCAACAACACTGTAGGTGATCCTTTTTGGAGATATTTACAGTTTTCTATATCGATGCAACTATGTGGTGGATCTCTTCAAAATAAACAACTTTCACTAGCAGAATGTTCATCGAAAAATCATTCGTTTTCGAGATACAAATTGTTGAAATTTTTTAAAACACGGTTTTTCGATAAAAATTTTATTGAAAAAAGTTGTTTATTTGGAAGAGATCCACCACGTTTCTAGTTTTCCTAATGTTCTCAGCAACTTCACTTAGCGGAGCTGAGCCCGCTTAGTGAAGTTGCACTACTCAACACTGAGATCTAAATAATATGCATCGATAAAGAAAATTGTAAATATCTTGAAAACGATCAGCCGTAGCGTTGTTGAGGAGACGTACTTTTTCACTTAAAAAGGTGTGGGAATTAGGTTCTTTCATGGAAAGAACTGAACGTTCACTGTCAAAGTAATGACAGCGTACGCAGCGCCCTCTATATGTTACGTGGAAATTATCACAAAATAATGGTTAACCATGTCAAAAAACCCCGGGTACCAAATTTTGTGCTAGTAACTTATTTTTTGCAAAAGTTATTTTTTAAAAACGAACAAAAAATTCAATTTCAATACCCGGTATCTCCGAAACAAAGCATATCCGGACACAAGTTCATATAATTTTTTTCTGTTAAAATTGTCTCAGGAATACGTAACTTGAATATTCCAACGTACTAATGTTACACCCTGTATAGAACTCTGAAATGAATACTTGTTCAAAAATTTAAAAGACATCAATTTTTTTAGGGGGTCAAATTTTCAACGGCATAAAAACGCAATTGTATCAGTTATAGGTTCTTCTACGCGTATCTTCTGACGTATCTTCGTTATTTCCAAGTGTGGCATTGAAAAGCATCGAATGTCTGAAGGATCTTTCAGAAATTGATAATATATGTGGAAAAATAGTCGAAAAGTACATCCGGCTGTTTCATATCTAATCTATTCATTAAAAATTTGAAATGAGAGCAAGAGAAAAGTCGGTTAACATTCCATTGACTTGTCATTTTTGACACGAATAAGAGTAAGACAGGGAATTCTGTGGATTTCCAAATATATAAGCCGTTTTTTTAGCTAATTCGACTATTGCTATCTCAGAAATGGTGAGATCTACAAGGTTGGTTGAATGAGATAAAACTTGGGTGAACTAGATTTTTTTAGATCGAGAATATCAGTAGTTGATTTGAAATATCCGTCAAAAACTAAATTTGTCGAATTTCGTGTTTCGGCTCTATAGCTTGTTCCAAGACATTTTATCGATTCTGAGGTATCAGAAGTGGTATTTCAAATACTCATATTTGCCTACCATGGATGAACGATAATAACTGTGAGAGCTAAATTACCGCCTAGTATGCAAAATTTCACGAGAAATGTTCCCTTCATTATCCGTCACGATTTTTCATTGTTCATATCAAGTTTTGGCGAAATGCCAAAGGACTTTCTGAAAGCTGGATTCTGACAACAAATCCACACCAAATCGAAACAAAGCAATTCGCGCATCTCTTCATCCCCCATTGCCAATAAATCAACTCCATCTAATTGGAATAGTGGCTGGAATTCGAATATACAGTCGAGCTACGTGCGAAACAAAAGGAATTTTATCGCAATCCGGCCATTACAGTGGTTCTGTAACTTTGTGCTTGAAAATGTGGGTAGTTTATCGACCACGGTCAAAAAAATGGATGAACGGAACGCAAACTCTTATACAAAGGTACTGAAGGGCCAAATAACATTCTTATTTTATAATCGACAATTCAAACCAATGACTAGCCCTAAATGACAGCTCAAACTGTCGATTATTGACCCTTTAAACCATCGATTTTACGTAAACAGCTAAACATCAAACATTATATTCATTATCATTATCATTATCATTATCATTATCATTATCATTATCATTATCATTATCATTATCATTATCATTATCATTATCATTATCATTATCATTATCATTATCATTATCATTATCATTATCATTATCATTATCATTATCATTATCATTATCATTATCATTTTCATTATCATTAATTCTTTGAATTGACGATTATACATAATCGACAGCCAATCGACAGTTTAAACTATCCATTATGGCTACTCGACAGTTCAAAGTGTCAATAAGTGAACTGCCGATTAGCTATAATCGATAGTTCAATCTGTCGACTATGTACAATCGACAGTTAAGACTATCTATTAGGTAAAATCGACAGTTCAAATTCTCAAAATTACCAATTTTCTAGAAATGTGAAACTTTTGGTTAGCAACCCATGTAGAAAATGTTGGAACCTATAATATATCCTAAGAATAACTCCTGTGAAAAAGATCATCACCAGGGGGTATCAAAAATACCTGAACAGATATCTCTGATAAAGCCCGAGGATCACTTTGTTATGTTGGGGATACAGCAAAACATTCTAGGTAGGTTTCAAAATATCTCATGTAAAAACTTGGACGTCTCCGTTTGGGCCACCCTGCATAACTCACCACTGCTTCAATCCACATGCCATTCAATGATATATCGAATTTCAGAGTATACGTACACAAACGTCGTGGGGCTGATGTTTATCCGGAGGGGTTCACTTCCCGATTCGAATTTGTTTGCGATTGTCACATTGTGGCCGAACATGCAGTAGCGTGGCATTTTCACCCCTACCACCCCTGAGAGGACTGATCCAGTGTGGAGGCCTATCCTCATCTGAAAATAACAATGAATATTCAGAGGAAATATATTCCAGTCGCTTCAGTGTGATAGGAGTCTATAACTTTGCTCCATAATTATTATTGTTGATGATTTGGATAAGACCTACTTCATTACTTACTGGAGTCTGGGTTGAACCAAGTCTATAGGCTTTAGTTGTTCAACGTTTCGGTTTAGACTTTGAAGCCATTTTCAAGTAAAGAAAATTATGGTTGAAAAGAAGTATCGATCTGTCTACCCATCAGCTAGTGACACCCTTTCAGGGATTTGTGACTTTACGCCCGGGTCTCAATATGCCGATTTCCCAGGTCTCGTCACTGGTTCCTGCAAGGCCGATCTGCCGAAGCCGAAACGTCGAACAACTGAAAACTATGGACGAGGTTCAAACCGGACATCAAAATATAAGTAGTCTTGACTTTATAAAGTTCTGGATGAACGTCTTCTTGAGTTTTGCAACGTTTCTGGAGACTGAATGAGATGAGAACTTCAGGATTCTCAGTCAGTATCGCCTTAGAGTTTATTTTGGATTCATCAAACGCAGAAGACGCATGTGAGCCTAGAACTATGAGAATGTGATTTTATATTGTCATCAAGGTTACCTATACCTGTATCTCATGCAGTTCAATCTGAAAAGTGAGCAATAGATTCATCTATGTGTGGAAAAATTAGTTCAGTTTCGAATATCCTGAACCAGAAGAGGAAATGAAGTCGATAAAGGGGTTTGCAGAATAAAAAACAAACCTTGAGGAAGCGGTGTTACTGATTTTTATTTTTAGATCAACTTCTTTTGAAACTTCATGTGAAAACGGAGGTGATGAAAAGGTTTGTAAAACAGAAAAATTTTGGAGAGGCAGTGTAACTCATCTAAAGTTCGAAAAAAACGTTTTGAATTTTTGAGAATTATTCAGAAACATCAACAGCAACAACCACTTCTAGGCATAAAAAAACTCGGAATATTTCTACTGAATCTGGAAATGATTTGAGTATACAGTCATGTTACAAAAAAACATTCACCACAGTCAAATACAGTTCTAAAGTTGGTCGATACAATTTACAATACGAGAAGAGGAAAAACTAGTCAATAAATCTTGTTATCTTGCCAACCAAACCTGCATAAAAGTAAAATGCAAGTTCGAAGCTTCTTCGTCTGTAATAAATATATCTGAGTCATTCGACAGAAAGACATTACTTTGTCTAAATGAAAGGAGCGGGAAAATGAATCGGAAACAAGTTGAGTCATGAGTTTTAAATCTCTCTACATGAAATATCACTCAACTTTAAAGTTTGCCAGATTGTCTGGGTTAATGCCAACTTTGTGGATAGCGTACGTTGTTCGATACAAGAGATACGGAATAGAAGGGGACCGAGAAATGATGAGGGTAATTTTCTGTATTTCAAGAAAGAGTATGTTTGAAATTTCTTATTTTCGGTAAGAGTCAATCTATTTATCTTATCCAGTTTTTTTGTTTTATCACTTCACTCCCAGACCATTCTCGATGTTACTATTAGATTCATGATAAAGATATTAACATTTATTGAAGTATTGCTGAGAATGAAACAATTTATGAGAAAATATGGGTACTTGTACAGCATACTTGATGCTTTGCTAGTCATCTTCAAAATACAAAGCTTTTAGGTTTTTTCATGTAGACTTTGAAACGCACACTTTGACCAAGTAGGCTTTGGAAGACGCGGCGACAAAACAGAATGCAAACCTTTATAGTATTGGAGGTAGCAAAGTTTTCGAGAAAGAATTTCAGAACAGTTGGTTTTTTGATATGCTGTCTTTCTTGCTTTTTCCGTTAGAGTCCGGGCTACCTGGCTGGCGGTAGTGGTTGCGTTTCTTAATGCGCATCTTACCTGCACAGGTAAAAATCCTCAACTTTACAATAATTTTTTAAAGCGTAATTTTTAAGTTTTTGCCTTTAGATAGCACTAACCTCACTGTTTATGTTTCCCGCAATAGTTTCACTAACATTTGCTGGTGTATTTAATGGCAAAGTATGTGAAGTAGATTTACTGATACTATCTATTTCAGTCGATGGATCACGGTATTTTGCCATTAAAGCTGTAAAACTTCTGTAACATTGTCTGTGATATCCATCTGTTTCATTCATTTCAGTGGGCAACTCGATGTCAGTGTAGTTTAATTTATATTTTAAACGTATATTCAAAACTTCCTGGCATTTCTTCAGTTTATCAACCACGACAAGTATGATTTTATCTTTATGTCCTTTATAGAAAACATATTTCATTTTATCACTGGCCATTATAACAAAGTTAATAAATAAAACATCACAAATAACGAAAACACAAAACGGACATGTGACTTTAGACTGACGCCATGTTGTTCATTTGCCGATGCGCTGCCGTCGGTTTCTATCTGTCTTGCACTTTAAACTGTGTCTCTCTAACCACAAGCATTATACCGCAATACTTTTCATTACTTTTTCATTTATATTTAATACTTAAAAATACATTTAATTATGTGCCATACGCGACTTTTTATTTTTTTTTTAAATAAAACATTCAAAGTATTTTTGAATGTCTATAATTTTTATATTATGTTCTTTAAACATACAATAATCTAACATTAATTTGCTAGACGTTAACTCGATTGTTGATATCTAAAACTGAAAAGAGTGTTTTTAGGAGCATGATACCTCAGTGTTATTTTCAAATTTTTTTCAATAACCAAAGTGGTATGGAAAATTGTTCTATTCATGAAGACCACTAGGCCCTTATATCAGCACCTATTCTTCGCCAAAATGATCGATCTGTTTAAAAAAAATCTGTTTTTCCGTTAATCAGCTGTCGCCCCCATACGAACGACAACTCTCAGAAGTTGAGAAACTTGTGCGAGCCAAGGACTAACGAGGTCTTACCTTTTAACGTGTGATTCCTAACATCGATTGATGAACTGATACAAAAAATCCGTAAATAATCAATTCGGTTGATTCTATCTAAGGTTCTGTCAAAAATATGAGTTCTCTAATATTATTATCATCAGCTACTCACCCTTATTGGCTGTCCTTGATGTGTCTGATGGGAAGAACACACCTCAATCATTTTTAGAGCCATCCACGCGATTTGTTGAGCATGCGTGTTTGTCTCTTTGTGCAATCCACCTGCCACGCAATAGGCGTCTCCAATTGTTTCCACCTGGAACAGCCACTGTTAGAATTTTTGTTTTTACTTGTCACAGTAATTGTGAGTGGAATCCAGAAGCCTGGAATTATGAGTTGCTATACAGGATGTATCTTAATTTATCACGTATCTCAGGTGGTGATAACTTGTCATATTTTATTGAAAAAAGTGTTCTTACTTGCTTCGTTTCTTGGTGATAGTTTTACTAGAAATATTGTTCTTTTACTAGCATCATTGCCGATTTTGGTTAAATTACGTGTGCCTGTTATGAATATTCAAGGGCTTATTTTCATGAGATTGCATTTGGAATTTCAATTCCTGTGATTGTTATTTCCATTTGATGCATTTGTATAGAAGCTTGTCTTTAAACACGTTTTTCTATTGTTCAATCTGATAAAAGTATCAAACTTGGGAGAACAGTGGCGTACAATGATTTTTTACATAATATTGAACTAGGTAACTCTCTGTGACGCCACTGGAATTATTATTCGTGATATTGTTTCATGACCACTTGAGCACTTTTTAATATAATTAATAATTCTCAATCATCTAGCAAACTCCCGAGCTATTGGAAAACCTCAAATATATAAATCAGGCCGAAAATTCGACATGTGTAATTAGTGTACCATTTCTATTCATAGCGCAATTCCTAAAACTTTTGTGAGCATCATTTTTGAATACCTTACTTATGACTGCTCCCCAACAATTCGGATTTACATCCAAAAAGTCAGCTGAACTGGATCTGATTACTTACGTTGATTTTTTGTCTGACGCTCTGTCTGAGGGTTTGCAAGTTGACTATGTGTATACTGGATTCTCCAAAGCTTTCAACAAAGTAAATCATAATCTATTGATCCGTAAACACTGTTTATATGGTGTTGATGGGCAAATATTGCAATGGCTCAAGAGCTATCTTACGAAAAGGAAGTAAATTGTTAGCGTTAATCATTACTATTCTCATGCCCTTGCAGTTATATCGGGTATTCTACAAGGTTCACATTTGGGACCACTGTTGTTGAACCTTTTCATCAACGATCTAATCAGCATGAAAGCAAAGCTTTGCTATTTTCCGAGGATTTAAAATGTTTTGAAATAATTGAAAGTGAAGCTTATACATTGTGTCTACAAAATGATATAGCCTATCTAAGTGGTGTTCACAAAATGGTAGGTGTTTGAATGCAAATGCCAAATTCTTCGCTTTCATCGAATACATCACCCAATCATTTTCGAATATAGTATAAATTATCGAACCTTATATTCTGCTATCGAAACCAAAGATCTAGGTGTGACACCACACTCAGCTATAAATCACACATTTCCTATGTAATTCCAAAATCTATGAATATGCTTGGCTTCATGAAGAGAAGTACCTGTGATTTCACCAACATCACTGCTATTAAATCTATTTATTTTTCCCTGGTTAGATCTCATCTCGATTATTGCTCCACAGTTTGGTCCCCTAATTACATTACACAAAAAGTGAAACTCGGGGACCGTACAGCATAATTTTCTGCGATATATTGCCTTCAAGATGCGTGTATACTCTGACTATACTGCATTAGATTGCATTTTGAACATACCTTCTCTTGAGGCTCGCAGAAAACATAGAGATTTAATACCTCTATTCAAAATTATCACCTGACTAAGTATCAGCCACGAGCTTCTCTCTAAAATATCTCTACATGTCCCCAGTCGTTCAACTAGACACGTGCAAACGTTTTAAGTTTCTTTCACACATTCAATTATTTATACAACAGCTTTATTTTCAGAACTCTTCGATTGGTTAACTCTTTAAATAACCTTCAAATCTTTGATATATCAGTTTCTTCAAAAACTATATTCTTCACCTAGCCATCTAATGATCTCTGCTTGTGTTACTTGTTCACTGTGGTTCTGGCGTTGAATTTAGTCATTATTACGCTTTGGTCAAAGACGAAACGGACTGTTTTAAGTTTGACGATAGTCGTGTCACGAAGTGTTCTGGCATTGTATTGAATTTATTGGAGCCTCTGGAGACATCCTAGATTTTATTTTATGAGAGAGAGGACATTGGCAGATCAAGATCTTTAGATGATGTGGTGCTGTAGGGGTTTTTCCGGGATTCAATCAATCATTCAACTTCAATAAACAAAATGAGCTACTATGGCATTCGTGGAACCTGTCAACAAATGTTCACTTCGTATTTGACCAACCGAATACAGCGAGTGGAGTGCAATAATAAGAAAAGTCAATTCCTACAAATTGAAAGGTGAGTACCTCAAGGTTCAATCTTGGGACCTCTGCTGTTCCTCATTTATATTAATGACCTACCCCATAATGTGACTGCACATAACAGATTATCTGTACTCTTTGCAGATGATGCTACATTCACAATCAGTATAAAAAGGGATGAAGATCTCAAAATAGCCCAAGATGATGTCAGACAACAAGCACATACATGGTTCGCCAGCAATGAATTCATACTGAATGATAGTAAAACTGTAAGCCTAAAATTTGATTGTAGGCCAAATAATTCTGCTAATCAGGCAGAAATGTATAAGAAATGTGAAATTTCTAAGTGTACAAATTGACAGTCACCTCCAGTGGTCACAACATGTGAATTTTTTGTGTACTAAACTCTCCAAGGCTGTTTTTGCTATTGAAAAAGTTCGAGACCTTGTAAATCAAAGAGCAGCGCTAACTTCTTATTACTGCCTATTCCACTCATACCTTTAGTATGTTACTTTATCTTGGAGTAATGCAGCTCAAACATACATAGTTAAACTACTAATTTTACAAAAGTCTGCCATAAGATGTATTACAAAGTCAAATTGGGAGGCTAGTTGTAGGCCTTTATTTCCGGCTCTAGGAATAATGACCGTTTATGCCTTAATTATATACCACAAACTAATATATATTAAAAATAATATTGAATGCTATGAAACTCATGAAGAGATACATGAATATGATACAAGGTTCAAAACCAGAATAGTTGAACCAAAAACAAGGCTTCAAAAAACCACCAAAATTGATTCGGGACTCTATAACAACTTACCATCTCAATTTCGAGATTTATCTCCAAAAATATTCAAATCCAAATTGAAATGTATTTTTCTAGTAAATGTATTTACAACTTCCAAGAATTTACTCAGTTGATCGCTGAAAATCGGAATTTGTTCATGGATAATTATAGTGATTGAATATAACTTTCCATTTTATTGTTACGGTACATATCCATATATTATCTATATTTCATTCATTTGACATTCTATACATTGACATTATATATTTTTTTACATTTTATACATCATACTTCATATATTTTATACATTTACGTTTTATATATAATTCATACATTTTACATTTTATATATTCATATTTAGTCATCCCTTAAAATGTATTTTATCTTGTATGTAGATCATATATGTTTTTTTTTATTCTTCAATATCCCATATCACAATCATTGTCAACCTCAATTATATTCCCAGGACTACAAATTATTCTATCATCTATCTTTAGTTATTTGGGTTAAGGTTTGGACGTGTTTATAAAATGTAAAATTTTCTTGAGGCAAATACAGATGAAATGAAATGAAATTCTTATAATTTACTTTTAATCCACTGTATTGCATCAAGTACTACATAGCACTGTACTACTTATATCTGAATAGGGCTTGCCCGTGTAAATACATAAATAAATAAATAAAAGAAACTCCTTGTTACTGCTAGCAAACATACCTAGTTCCATCGAAATCAGCGGAAAGACTTTTGAGTTATTGATAAAAAACAATAATTTCAGTAAAACTTTGACACCCCGTTACTCGGAAACGAAGCAAGTTAAGACACACGTTATTGTATTCTTTACAAAAGGTAGTATAAATGATACTCTTTCTCATAACTTGGTTCGACCTTGATATTTTCTCCCATTCAAAAGATAAGAGAAGTGGGACTTCTTCACATCCGTACTCCATTGTGCAGACTAGAAGTGTGGAATATCAGTTTCCTATACCTCTATCACCTCAACAACTCGCCTTTACGAAAGAAACATTCACTTTTATTTCTGGAAGATAATTCCATTACCCCCAATTTCCTGGAGATAGCAACATCTACGCTGTTCATCTCCGCTCCGCTTTTTCTCGGAAAAGTCACTAACTTCCACTAAAACAACTTGATCTACGAGCATTCGCTTTCGAGTAACGTGGTGCAGCACTCACCGAGCGTTATCGATTCACCATCTCCGCAAACGGCAATAGATACCAACCTTGTAAACGTCTATTTGGCCGCAGAAAACGTCAAATTGGTTGTATAAATTTTCCAGCATGTTTATCACCATCATCGGAGTGGCTGTGGAGCAGATCGATGTGAAGCCGACTATGTCGCTGAATAACATCGTCACGTCAACGTGGGTTTTAGCCTCGATGGCTTCGCCTGAAAATGAAAACTGAATATTCATAATTGGAACTGACGTGTCCGCTGAAATGGAATTATTTAAAGTTCCGATCATTACCAGTTCACCTATGTATATTTCGAATTGCTGGAAGCGAAAGAATTCTTTGTATCGAAATTAAATTTACCGAATCTGGAAACAAGAAGAAAGGCGCTGAATTATCACCAGTGATTGTTGAAACTGGAACCAAAAAAACGCATTCGTAATTCAACACCAGGCATCGGCTACGTCGACCAGCCAGAAATATCCTCAGTGGTGCTATACATACAAAACCACAAATACTGCATTAAACTGTTTCAAAAAGACAAGACAACTGTGTAGAGGCGTTGAGATGTTTCCTCACGAAAAGTTTCCTTTGGTATGAAGTCTCAATTTACATATGTCAACAACGAATGAGGATTCGACAGATGATCTGTAGCAAAGTCACATCGAAATCAACCGCCTATCGAGATTCGTCTTTTGTATTTCACTGCAGCTTCAACTGCAAGGTAACTAGTAGAAACCAGCATAGGAAAACAAAGACTTCATAATCCAATACCAGACATCTTGGTTTCGACCTGCCATAAGTCTCTTCAACTGTCCTTAAAGGACGAGTCTGTGAGTGAGGCGAATACATCTCCCCTTTTGAAGTTGCTATCAATAGAACCAACAGAAGACTCCGTCCATGAATATTAGAGATGAACGAAACTGCTCATGACGACCAGTTGGAAACTCAAACTTTGACATCGACCGCCGAACGAGATTCGTTCTCTGTCTTTCCCTGCAGCTTCATTTACAAAACAACAAGTTGAAATCAGATACTTATTGGTCAGAGGTCGATATTGAAGCTTGGCTCATCAACTAACCACCTTGGCCTTGTTTACTGTTGATCTTTGAGTCTTCTATCTCTTCGATTGATGGCATCTTCAAGAAGAAAAATGTTCATCGCCTCTACTCAACCAGTGACTGTCTTCTGGAATATTTTTTCACCAATGAAGTGGAATCTTGGAATTGAGCGAGCTGGGAAGGGATAAACAAAGTTATCAGTCAATATGAAAAAATATGAAGAAGAGTGGTTGAATCACGATAAAAGTCGTACAAGAAATTCATACTTGCGAATGTTATTAGTGGAAGAGATGATGGAAGCTGGGATGATGAGGAGGAAGTAAAATGGAGAGAAAAAAAAGAATAAATGAGATACAGGTGAAGGGGTGCCAAATGAATACAGAGAAGAAATGGTGAAGAGGTATAAAAGAATGATAGAGAAAGAAAAATTAGACTGCTTCAGAAAGATGTAGGAGTTGGAAATATTTGCGAATGGAAAATAGGTGAGGTGAAGTCTACTTCTACATCCAATGAGAGAAAGGAAAAAATAATTCTCACAGGAAGCTTCATTTCCTCGCGATTGCTGAGTACTTTTAAATGTCAAAAGATTAGACGTTTGTTAATACGAATTCAAGGATGGCCTTGAGATGCCTGTTATTCATTGTTCTGAACCTACTCATCGCCTGACTTGGGAGAATACCCCTCAAGAGTCTGAAAGAGGACGAAGGAAAATCCCCAGATAATCACCTTGCTAACATTCATAGGACATATTTTGAAAAAGTTTTTCAATATCAGGACACAAAACTGGTGTGAAAGAGAAGAGAAGTTCTAGTTTCATCGATATGATTTCAAAGTGGAGATGGGCACGATAGTGACCATAAAATAATGGTAGAAAGAATCATGAAATCTGACTAGATACCAAGACATACAGTATGATCGTGACATTAGATATATTGAACGCCTCACCACTAGCCAGAAAAAAAAAGAAGTTGTGCATGGATCAGCGGATAAGCCAATGAAATAGTAAACCTAGAATAACCACGAGATTCCAACTTGGAGATAACACTATGGTTGAGAGGAGAGAAGACTGATACGACGAAATCATACATGGAAGGAATATATAAAATAAAATAACTATCAACCACTTTGCACTGGTGATGGACACGTGGCTTCTTCTCATGAAACATTTTACGAGTTATTGAAAAGATTGAGTGGCTTGAAAAAAGTTATAGCGGTAAATTGGCTAGGATGAAAATGTGTGAGAGTAATATATGGAATGAAAAAAAAAAATGGAGCTGAGTGGGAAAGGAGCAGATGAAAATCCTTTTTTGGAGCAAGGACTATTACTTGAAGTGTAGAAGTTTATGTCCATACTGGAGTGAGAAAAGGGGTATGCGAAACAACGATAAAAGGTAGGGTGATATGAGTAGAAGTAATGAACCATGGGATGAAAAACAGAAGGTTGCAAAAATCGAAGAATGATGAAGATGTGACATCCAATAAAAGTTATTTCATATCATCGATATACGCATGTCATTCTTACTCCTTTCTTATTCTCAACAGAGTTCTATTTGGGAAATCAATAGTGGAAGGAGAAGAGAACAAGATGGAGGGAAAGAAAAAAACTTGAAGAAACGAGGAAAATGAGCGAGGATGGAATAAAATGGGCAACAAAAAAAGATTTGAGCACCACGGTGGGACGTAATAAGTGTAAATATTAATCAAATGTAAATGGCGGAGAATAAATTACTGGTACGACACCTGACTATTCCACAATTCTCATTCTTGAGCATGATAACTTCATAGGTTACATAGCAATGGGGATAAAGGAGTCATCTGCTCATATATGTAACGACACAGGATGGAAGGTGCCTGAAGGTAGAAAGAACTGGAAGGCGAATAGAACAAACAACAAAAAGAGAAGGTTGAGATGTGAGAATGACATGAATAATGATCGGATTCCTTCGCTAATGAAAATGTCACAGATGAAATGGATGGAAAATTCAGTATAGAGTGGCTCTCTGAAGCCAAGTCAAGGACAGATACGGGGAAGTGGGAATAAAATAGGTAATGATTCATTCGACAACAAAAAAAGTTGCCTTTTCTCTCTGTATGAGTTGACAGACATTCTCTGCGTTTGTTTGAAGGTGGTTGACAATGTTTCGTGGTGTATTTTATTAGTTCGGACTCACATTGTCTAATATAATATAAATTGATTTGAAATCCCAAAAAAAATTGAAAAGATTAACCGAAAATAACAATTTTATTTGAACAAAAAAACTGAAATTACAAAGAAATAACATAAAACCCAACAACAACCGAAAAATAAAAAATTAAAAGATTCCAAAACAAGTTACGTCACGACGTTTCGATTGTTAGTATCCACAATCGTCTTCGGGTGATAACTGGATAACCTCCGAGATCTGACTATTTATTTATAGGTTATTCAAGTGATTTCACCTATCCCCTCTTCCCTCTCTCCGCTTTATTGATTTCAGCGGGAGATGACCGTTTGGCGGGAGTTGGTTGTTTTTTTCTTGATTAGAGGTTTCCTTATGTTACGTATCTTTACCCTAGCTTGACTAAATGCGTTGTTGGACAACATATACACGGCTTCTTTGAATTTTCTCCTAAATAATTGTTCCTCTTTGTAGATGATTTCAGCTTGAGCCCACTTGATGTTATTTTGATGAGTCCAAACATGCTCTGCTATTCCGGATTTGCTGCTTTCTCCTTGCCGTGTGTGTTTCTTGTGCTCAGCAATGCGAACTTTCGATGGCCTCTTAGTTTCACCGATGTATGATTCTCCGCACTCGCAGGGTATCCGATAAATGCAATTCTTGGAATCGCAGTCCGCGTTCGGTAGCCTGGTTTTCGTGAGGCTGCTACAGATAGTGTTCCCAGATCTGAAGCATGTCCTGATGTTATACTTGGATCCAATCCTTCTCATCCTTTCCGATAATTCTCTGATGTAGGGAAGTACAAGTACTGGTTGTGGCGGCTTCTCTGCCTTGTGGAGCTCTTGCTATCTTCTAGCTGAAACCTGTTCTACCATTACTCTGGAGTAACCATTCCGTTGGAGGTCATTTTTGATGATGCCTAGTTCCTTTTCGAGACCTTCCTTTGCCCGAATGCACGGTCTAGTAGAGTCTTGATGATTCCTCTCTTAGTCGATTGATGGTGGTTGGATTTCTTTTCAGTTCATTCAGTGTCCGTACTCTTCACCAATACGTCTAAGAAAGGCAATCCGTTGTGGACTTCCTTCTGAGGGATTCCAAATCAATTTATATTATATTAGACAATGAAAGTCCGAACTGTTGATATTTTCTGTATATTTTCAAAAGTAATGAGGTAGGTTGAACTATCGGTCGAGGATTATAGATTTACAGATGGAGGAAGAGGAAATAATGATGAGATTTCGAATATAGGTATAGGATCTTCCTTCCTTCTTGTTATACTCTGCCGACATGGATAGTTTGGTTGGTTAGGTTTCGAGAGAAGATATTGAAGAGACGCAGTAGGAGCTCATTCAGGTATTGTGAAAGTTATATCAAATAAAATATAGTATTTTCACCCAGTGATATATTCCACTCACAAAATATTCTAGCAATGAGGCTATGGATAGCCTGTCCGATAGTCTGATAGTGTGTATTCTTATAATTTGGGAATTATGAATGTTTATTGTTATTTTGAAGCCATAAAAGTACTTGGTCACTCCAAAGAAAGTGTTGCTGTCAAATTTGTTTTTTCAACTGTTAAAAGACAACTTCAGAACTATTTTTCAATTTCAATATTTCACAAATACAATGACAAAAATACTTTTCGATTTTGATTCGTGAAATGTTGAAGTAGAAGAAGAACTAAACCGAGCATCGATCCACATTTCCAACCCGAATTATCCTTGACAGAACAGCGAGTGCCTGAGATCTCTCAAGAGTCATTGCTTCCATCTCATACATCGCAAAGTCGACGATTAAATACTAGAATTGACCGTATTTCTCTCAGAATGGAATCAAATTGAATATAATTTTCCTTACCCAGCCAGAGCCGCTTGGCGATGTCAGGCGGAAATATTAAATGTAATAAACTGACATTCTTCTCCCGTTCCTTGTCGACGGCCCTGTTCCCCTCCTCGATGGAGCTCTTCAATTTATCCATTCTTCTCCGCAAGCCGTCCTGAAATCGTGAATGAATCTCAATGGCGATAATAACTTGCTGAAAGAACAGCAGGAACCCGATGATTCCTGTGTGAAATTGGGGTTGCAATGATATACAGCGTGACTCACGGTCGATGGTAGGTTAGACGTTTCTGGAAAACGCAAAGCATGATTTTTCTGAAAATTTCACCTCTCACATTTCCTTACCTGTTTTATCGATCTAAAATATTTTCAGCATTGCGGCGTTGCCACTTCCATCAAAAAGTCCTAGCAGCTTTATTTTTTTAAATAGAACACCCCGTATATTAATACATTTTTGGAATTGCTCTGGTATTTTAATACTTTTTTGTCAATAATGTCCTATACCTATCTCTATCTGTTTTCGAGATAAAAAATAAATTGTGCTAAATATGGTCCAAAACATAGCCTTAATTGAAATTAAGTACTTACATCAGTACTCTCAATTCATGAAAACTTGATATTTTGATGATAGTTTGGACAAACTCGATATATTCAAATAACACCAAGAAATCGACTCCATATCATACAAGGCGTGCTAAAATTACTATTATTTCCATTGTGCATAAAAGTAGTCGAAAGTTCATTTTTTCAAATGAAACCAACTGTATATTACTCGATAAATTGAAAGATGGTGAAAAATTCTTCAAGATGATATACCTGTCCCCATACCTGAATTAATAAAGCCGTTTTTGTGGAAAAATAGTTATTCACGTGTTACCTACAAGTGTTGAAAGTGGAATTTTATTTTGTGAGTGGGGATTATTGCAAAACGAGCGTCAGCAAGTGGAGCGAACTCACGAGCAAAATAAAATCACTTATAACAAATGTATCATACAATTTTTTTTGTATAACCTTACTGCTGATAAAAAAAAATTATAGGGTCCATGGGATTTGAACACACGATCTTTGGATTACAAAGCATATGTCACAACTACATACGCCAACTAACGTTATTTTAAGGAGGATTATTGGTTAGTCATGAAGAACTTTCTACAGTTGGACTGAATACTACTTCGTCATCGTCAGTAACTTCACAGGGATTTAATATTACCAATAGCACGAACTGCATGTGTGAACTTTTCTAAATGATTTTTTGGTAGGTGTTCTGA